TGTTCAAATGCGCTCCACACAGCAGCAGATCCTTCTTCTTCATATTCAGTGAAAGCAGCATAGGGATCGGTATTCAGGTCAATCGTCGTTCGGATAATGTTAAGAGCTTCATCATCCCTGACATCCCAGGCGAGTCCCTACCTCTCGTTACTCGATCGTCTCTCATTTCCGAGTACAATATCCAGCACTTCAATTGCAGCTAGATAACTACGCATCCGAAACGCCCATTCTTTATAGTTGTCCGACCCTTTCAGGTGGACCAGGGCGCCGGCAGTCAATCTTGCAAGGGTGTTGTCTCTTCTGGCAGCCATATCTGATGTCGGCGGAGCTTGTAGCGTTTCTAAGGTCAAGTGTCGCTCAAGCAGGTTCCCGAGGTCAGACAAGGTATAAAGTTACGCCCACTGAAGAGCTTCAGGATCTAGGAGAGTAGGAGGGAGAGTAGGAGAGAGAGCAGGAGTGGATGCTCGATGCCGATGGGTACTGCTTTGGCCCTGAGAATGTTCGCCGCGGGGCAACCCCGCGAATTCTGCCGCATCCTGTCCAGTTGATTAGTCTTCTCTCTATTTTCCTTTAGATGACGTTGTCTTCTTCTTCTTGTTGGTGGTTCTCGACGAGGACTGCGTCGCTGAGGCCTATTGGGCCGAACCTCTCTCAGTACTGCTTGCGCCTGTGCCTTCAGTGCCTTTGCTCCGGTTGGGAGGCGCACCGCCCTCGGCGTGCGTCGTAGCATACACAGGGTCCATGTTCACTCACGCTCTGACGGACCTTGATGTCTAGAGCGTCCTCACGGTGTTGGCCGTGGCAGGTTTGTCAGGTTTGCCTCCAGGCCAGTGCCGAGGCTGCAGGATGTTTGTTCAGTTTGCACTTGGTCGCCAAGTCTTGCCAAGGCAACAGGTGACTGCGGGGTAGAGCTCTACTCCGCCAGTCCGTCCAACTTCTATCGCTAATTGCAGGCCCAAATCGACCTCAATTTTCAAGCGAGAAGCGACGCTATATAGAGCCTATCTTGGGGATTAATTCTAGGGTAAACACTTACTGATATGTGTGCAGGCAGAGGAGACCCAAGGCGCGAAACCCGGGCTCATAACCTGTTGTGATTATGAGTGATATTGAGCTTGTCAAGTCCTAATTTACAGTAGATGTCCCACCATATAGCCACCAATACCACTAGTCTCAATTGGGAAGACTGTCATTTCACCTTATAACAACAACTATCAGCGCCTAAGATAAACGCCATCTTGCACTTATGCAACCGGGGTGGCTCCATGCTCTCTTCTGCCCACTGCCATGAAGACGGGCTCTTCGCTTGGAGCTTCGCCTGCGACATTTGAAAACTTGTCATGCACTGCGGTGCTCCTCCAGTGTTTCCCGAGCAGAGTCTGGATTCCTGCCAAAACGTTGCGGGTACCTGGCGACAATAATGAACAACTTGAACTGTTTTGCAGCAACTCCACAGACACATGCAGCTGCAGGACCACCAGCAGTGATGTACCTTTTCTTCCATAATAGTGGCATGATATCTCAGGCTGCTGACGGGCTCGCCTTGATTGTCCTCCAGCCGAGGAGTCTGTCTGACAGCCTTGCAATGAATGAAATCGTCAGTACCTTTTAGTTTTTCATGTGGCGTCAGCTCATGACTGCGTCGATGAATCAATTGATAAATGTTTACTCGGCCTTGAACATCTGCCGCATTTAAACTCCACTAGCAGTTCGTGTCATCGCTCGCAGTCCAACCGGACTAGAGATCCTTTCAAATAGTACTGCTCTGCTTTAGTAATGAGATTGGTCCATGGGTGCATGTCTCCGTTCTACAGACTTGTTGGAGCAGGCTCAAATGGATTGAGTGACTACGATCGTCAATAATACGATCGGGCTATAGCCGGAAAATTGTTTGGTGGTGGTGCAGCCCATGCATAACAAGAGACAACTTGATCGGAGCCGTGCGGAAGCCATGCGGCCGAACTTTGAGGTCAAGTGAGATAGTCGTTCGTCCAGACCTAATTAGTTTGGATGCAATGCATACCATGCCAGTCGTTAGGTTAGCCTATCCTTGTGGTTGGAGCCACAAGCAGACGCCCAGCAAGACGAAACTAGGCACTGAGGCTCTATCAAGACCAGGTTGTGCTGATGAGATAGAGCTTACGGGTGAATCCGTGTCGTGTCACATCACACATTGCGCCATCTGGGGGCGAGAGGCCTGGGAAGCCACCATCCTTCCTAAGCCTTTTGTGGGTGCTTAGCTCCATTCTGGGCTGGACCCTTGCGCGGTCAGATGCAGCTGATCGTGACAACAAAGACTAGGGCTGGGGTAGTTCTGGGATGGTCACCACAGCATGATGATTTTTTTCATCGTTGAACTTGGCTTTTGACTCCAAATAGTGTTAGTCAACGTTTTGTACAATATCATGGATCCAATCAGCGACTTTATCGTGAAGCCCGTAGGTCATCAACGCCATCGCCTTAGAATAACTGTACGATTCACAGTTGAAGAGCGTCAAAAAAAGACTTAGCAATAATGGTCATGGCCACCCTTCTCTTTTGACTGATGCGTTGTGTGCGCTTGTAATCTCGCCAGTCATGGGTTCAACACGGCGGAGCGATAAGGATTGGTGCAGAAGAGACGAGCCGCCAAACGAATGAGTAGCAGGGGTGCGGGGCGGGAAGGCAGGTGGGCGAGAAGGAGGTGGAAAAAGGTGAATAGTCGCGGCCAAAATGGAGCTGATCAAGATGGCCCCGAGATGATCGTGGCTGTTGGGTGCTGGCGCACGTTCGAACAGACTCTTTCGGCACTGATTCGTGCAAACAATTGGACGACGCAATTTCTGATGCTGGCCACGACTACTGACCAGAGTGAAGAAGGAACACCCTCGCTCGTTGTTGGACGGCCACACGGTAGGGGCGAAACACCTTGTACACCTGGAGCAAACCATGGTGGAGATGGTGGTCTTCGTAACGGCGACAGATTATTATGGAGATGGGGCCGCCCTAAAAGCACCATCGTCAGAAGTGAGTTTGTGAGCACGAGAACATGTGTGGAGGTTGATAGACGGCTGGACGCTGTCAACGCACGGTCATATGCCTCCCGATCCCCAGGATCTGCTGTCCGTTGACGCTGCGGCGTAGCCTCCTTCCTGTCGCTCGTATACTCGAAAATCGTGGCTACGACGGACGGGCTGAGAATGAGGTAAAGACGACAACCATGAAATCCACTATCGGGAATTCGGTCCAGCGTCAAAAGCATCATGTTGTTCTGGGCGAAGTGCATTTCCATTATACCCGAGAACCCCTGCAACACCTGCATGACATGGACGCCAGTGGCTGCAATCCTGGGCATCTGACGTCTGGGATAGGTGCGTAATCTTGATCGTTCTTTATTTTGCTCCAGTCAACTTATGATACTGCTCGATTGTTGAGAGTTGTTCATTGTACGATGATCCACTCGTCCACGCAATTCTGACGAGAGCATTGAAAGGGGTGTAACGCCGTCGGCGAACGGGTGCTCATGTTGCAATCCTCGAAGATAGTTCTAGCCGACAACAGGAGGAAAGAGGTTAGGTGGAGGAAGCAATTGTTGACACAGGTGAATAGGCGACTAGACGGCCAAGTTGAACGGTGCTATATGATCAAAAGCCACTGGGACGAGTAGCGCGCTCGTCTCCAGGCTCACAGCCCGTCTTACTTGTTCTGTTACAGCGCAATCCACAATGGTTGCCCCAACCACCAGTTATTAAGGTTGCGCGCCGGCTTTTCATACTAGTAAACTAGTAGTTTGTTGCATCTTGAGATGGAAACGAGAGAGGCTAGGTCTGGACGGTAGGAGGTCGAGGTCAGATGAAGCGGCGCTGGAGCATATTAGTGAGCCGACAAGGGTGAGGAGGAGAGACGGGGACATCTTTCAGAGAACTTGAACGGCCCTGACCAGTTCTAAGGTTGCTGCCGGTCAGTCGAGAGCAGATTGGTAGATGTAGTTGCATTTGTTGTTGACGGTACAAGGAACCGAGATACGGCGTGCTACCTAACTAGCAGGTACTAGGTGAGGAGCAAGAGGTACAGTAGCACCTCAGCTGCAAGAAACTGCTATAGGCACCGTGGCAGGTACTGTAGTACTGTTCACGACTGGTTGTGCTCCTGCGCCACCATACTGCTAGAGGTAGGTCCATGTACCTTGCCTTAGTACAATGTGTAGTTGTCTAGGTACTTGAGGTAGTACTAGCATGTACATACAGTACTGTCACTGCAGAGAACTGCACAGACAGCGTGATATGTATGAGCAGGGGCGCAGCTGCGGGCACCTCGCAGTCACAGTCAGCCAATTCAAGTGAGGTACTAGCACCCCAAACACTTGCTGTGTACCGGTAGTACCTGGGTAAGCTGAGAGCATCACGACTTGCAGTGGTGCTGGATACATTTGCCTCAGCTACTTGCGTCTAGACAAGTACCACCGGAGAAGTCCCTTCGATGTACTGTACAAGCAGTCCTGCAGTTGTAGCTGCCTCCAGCAGTGCGCTATTAGGCATGTTTTAGTGGATGCCCACATCCTCTGCACCTAAAAAGTTGAAGCCTGTAGAGTGCCAGTTGCCCCTCTGCCCACTTGAATTTCTCTCGATCAGCTCCATTGCTGATCCCCTGCCACTGGCTTGTATCTTCCATGTCAACCCACCCTCGCATCGCTCTGCACTGCATCGCATGGCAGGGCATGCACACCATCCCCAATCGAAGAATCGCCATATTGCTCACTAGCTACCTAGGGCCTGACCTCCGTGATCCGTATCTGGATCCATAAATCCCTAGAAGCGCCGTTGTCGTTGCTGCCATGGGCTTCGATACCCTAGCAGATGCCTAGTACCGTACAACCGAGTCGCGTCCCCCTCTCGGCCTGCTGCCCCTCGCCCCCCTCCACGACGCGCTCGTGCCGGTCATGGAAGCGGCTAAAGAGCCCTTGCGGCAACAATATCCAACAAGAGGCTGTTTGTATAGACCCTCTTCTCCATCGTAGTCTGACTTGATCAGGTCAAAGGAACCACATGCGTTTGACATTGACGCCCTGATCACAAGCCATGTCAGCTAAGGTAATTCTGGGGGGTCTAACAAGCCGACACCATCCATGGCATGCAAACATGCGAACTCGCCTAGAGGCTTCACGCCGGCGTCACTTGCAACTTCACTTCGTGTGCTAGCCACCGACTTCCCCATACTTTTAGAACGGGAAGTACCTCGACCTTGCTCACTGTCTCTTTCTTTTGTCTCTTGTGCTTCACGTCCTCCATGTTCTCCTTGGCAGAAATCCGGCTTGATCTTTGTTTTGTCCTGCCGGTTGGGTTGTGCTGAGTGGCTTTGACCACACTTACAGTCGTTATTGTTTACCCATCCCCAGAATCCTCGGAGACCGATGATATTCACGTCTTCTGACAACATGACGCCCGGTACTTGGCTCTATTGGTTCATTGTCTACTTGTGAGTGAACGAACCGGCCAGATTTTGTGCGGCCGGCTAACAAACATAGCCTCTACCGATATGCCCGCTTGGTAGTCAACCTCTGGCTGTTCTGGACCTTCAAGCCAATTCCCATTCCGGAGAATCCAACACTCTCACCTTCCGATGTCACGGTCATCTTGCCCACCCTTGACGGGGAAGGGGAAGAGCTGGAAAGAACAATCTCCTCCATCCTGCAAAATGAGCCCAAGGAAGTGATCCTGGTTACCATCGACGAAAATCTGTACAAGGCGGAAAGAACTGTGGCCAAGATGCCCGCGGCCAAATATGCCCGGATTCGCTGCATGTCGGTGAAGCAGGCAAACAAGAGACGGCAAATGGCCAGGGCTATACCCGAAGTCAACACGCAGATTATTGTCTTTGCCGACGACGATGTGACTTGGCCTCGCGAGACTCTGCTCTGGATGCTCGCACCCTTCGAGGACAGGAGTTACGGGGGAGTGGTAACTTGTCAGAGACTTCGAAGAGCCGAAAATCCCACTTTCTCTCAGCGCATCTATGGGTTTTTGGGTGCCCTGTACCTGGAGCGCCGAAATTTCGACTGCGCCGCGATGACCCATATGGATGGTGGTATGCCCTGCCTGTCTGGCCGCACGTGTGCCTACCGTACGAGTATCCTGCAAGATGTCAACTTTACCAACGGCTTCACCAATGAGAAATGGTGGTTTGGTCAATATCAGCTCAATGCGGACGATGACAATTTCCTTTCCCGCTGGATGGTCTCTCACGGGCACCAGGTCTACATGCAGTACCACCCTAATTGCGAGGTGCTCACCACCCTGGAGAATAATCCAAAGTTCTTGAAGCAATGCCTTCGTTGGGCCCGCAGCAACTGGCGAAGCAACTTGACCAGCATGTTTTCTGAGCGTCACATTTGGAGGTGAGTCCAAACATGTCGTCTCGAGGCCTTATCAAGGTTCTCCTGTCAAATGTCTTGGCACTAACTGTGTTACTCAGACATCAACTCTACAGCGCATATGCGGTGCAACTTACGACTTTGATGCCCCCGGCTATCATGGGTGACGCCCTTTTATGGTGGTTTCTGATCCAAGGCACTAGCGACTGGTCTCCTGAAAACGCCCGCCTCGCCTTCTGCATCTTCGCAGGGTGGATGACCTTTTCTAAATTCATCAAGCTGGTCACACACTTTGTCCGCTACCCCGTTGATATCTTCTTGTGGCCTGTCTCCGTCCTCTTTGGCTGGTTCCATGGCGTCATCAAGCTTTACGCCGTCTTGACGCTTAATGAGGTAAGTTGTTCGATTCCCTAGCGGCACTTGATGAACTATATTGACACGCAAAACAGACGACATGGGGCAGTCGCGACAACGCTGACACCAGCGACTCTGAGAGAATGATCAAGCAAAAGAAGTTACGACACAGTTTTGAGTCTCTGGACGAAAAGCTTCATGAAAAACTCCTGTCTAATGATTACACGACCTCCTACGCCGCACACGACCTCAAATGCTCACAGCCTCCACTTGGCTGACATGATTCACTCGTCACGACTGCAATGTTTAATTTCACGACTCAGCCACGTTCTCTGCACGCCTCTACATTCTTATCTAATTCTTTCGACAAGCATCAGTTTTCACGATGGTAAAACTCCTCCATTTCTCCTTTTCCCCAAAAGCAGCACTGTCATTCAAACTACTCAAAACTAAAAGGGAAGATACCAAAAACGGAAAATGCAGCGGACAACAGACAGAACGGCGGGAGGCTTTTTGTTTCGATTGGCTCCAGCCCGGCTTGGCTGCGTGGCTTCAAAAGCTCGTCAGAGTTTGTTCTTAGTTTCACTTTAAGCGCGCGATAGTTCCTGTTTTCTTTTTCGATTCACAGCAGCGATACAGACGTGGTGCAAAGGTGCCTGGGCATGGAGACGTTTCAGTTCGTCCAGTTGGGGTTTGATCCGCCGCCTGGGTTGAACACACGACTCATGCCCTCCTGTTTCTTGCAAAATGCATAGCAGTTGCGCAGGCGGCTTTTGTGGATTTTCTTTTTTAGTTACAGGCGCTGCTTCAGCGCCAGCGACCAGACCCGGCACTTGACTGCAGTGGCTTCGATCTACATGGACAATGAGTGATGGCCTAACAGCACGAGCAACGACCGAAGGCACGGAATTAATTTGATGGATTGATGAAAAAAACGTTACGAGCAGAGCTTGATCTGGGATCATGGGTTATCAAACACGGCTTCTTTCCAGCAGCTGTCCGTCCTAGCTCCATTATTTCTTGTTTCTTCTGCATTCATTGTCAAAGTTCTGCATCAAATCACATACAGATACCTTATCAACATGCATGCCGAACTGGAACACTTGGAAGGCGGGACAGTTGGGTCCCGCTTTTGCCTTTGTCTTTGTCCGTGAGGATCATTCAACTGACTAAGGCATGCCAGTTGGCCGAGCACGTCGTATATGCGTGATCCACGTCCCTGGGCATTAGCTTCCTGCAGCATGATCATAGTCCCGTCTCATCTGCTAGGAGCAAGCCGGAGATCCCCTCCGGATCCACGCATTCTGAGCATCGCCGTGCAAGGCTTGTCCGGACGGAGCCTCTGAGATTCCACCCGTGCACGCAAGTGGAAAAGAGATGTTTTACCCGCTCTGCACTTGGAAATGTCAGACCAATGTCGAGGATGAGATGCATTGGCCGGAAACACGAATGCGTTGGCAGTGAAGTGGGTCAGAGCTGCCGGTGTGAGTTGCTGATTTTGTGATAGTGGCTTACACAAACGCGTGACAACGGCCTGCAATGACCTCATGGGCAATTATAAAGCTTTCCGTTGGAAGCTCTGTAATTCTCGTCCTTACCTAGATACTGCAGAGATGATGATCCGGGGTTGGTTTCAAGATGATGAGCTGAGCCAGCATGGCAGAGGCGAGAAGGAATCCCCAAACGTATCAGAATGTCGAAGGCGTATGTGGTGACGCGTTGGGTTTAGCATGTTGGCACATTGGTTGAGATGAACAGGGACGGTGCGCGTTGGAGACATGCAGGTCGCCAAGAATGGACGACGCATAGTATGATTGGACGCCGAAAGTACTTTGAACGAGAGTGGTCTTATGCACGTTCAGTCGAGAGGTTCGCCAGTCCAGACCGGCAATCGAGCTTCCTTTCTCTTCGCGGTTAGATTCCTGCTGTAGTTTGAGCAAAAGCGCTGCTCTCTAACAGGCTGCTACAGACCGCCCGTCAACGAAAGAGCACGGGAAACCCTTACGGCGTAAAGCTCCAGTCCAGCCCAGGCCGAGAAAAGGAAAATATCGACAAAGAGAATAGCGGCGTCTGGCCTGAACGGCGGCCCCCGAAATCATCCTTGTCAGGTGCTTAATGGTAGAGGAGCTAAGCAAAAGCCATTCAAGCGCTGTGTAACCTGCAATGAGAACTGCCCGCGTCGCAATGCGGCACGGGTCGAGGCTTCTGCCGTTGGAGTGTTACACAATGTGGCCATGCCCATGTGCATCTGCCAACCCCGGATCGCCAGGACTCGAAGCTTCGGCACTTCAAGGACAAGCATATCCTATGTTGTGTAATTGTGTAACGCGACCATTCTGAAACTGGACCGGTTTGGGAAACAAACAGGGTTTGGGAGTCCTCTGGTGCCACGTATCCGGCCGGAATCTTGGATCAATAGCAGCCGACCCGCGTTTAAGATGATCAGAGTAGCCTACCTTGTCTGCTAATGTGACATACAAAAAGGACGTATGTGAGGCCGGACAGAGCAATAAATGGACAGGATTGCCATTTTTAGCCTCGAGCTTTGTAGCAGTGCCGTCAGGTGGTCATCGAAGTGAGGATCCCTAGATAGCGTCGGATGAGACGTTGTTGTAGCCGATACGCTTTGCTCGGCCGTACAGTCCTGACTTCCAGATTGAGATCAGGCACCGCAAGTGCTCGCTTGAGGAAAGCGAGGATGGTGTGATATGATTTCCTGTCTGCTCCCAGAGATTTCCAGTGCCTGTGCATTAGACAACTGCACCTTCCCGGGCAGTCACAGATCTACCGCGTCCGCTGCGCGCGCTTACCGTGCAAAGAGAGGAAACCCCATGTTGCAGGACAAGAACAGACACATAATAGCGCGAGAGTTTCCCGTCCGGTCCAAGCATGTGTGGTAGAGCATCTGAGCTGATTGGCTCACTACCTTGGCCCTTGATACATGAATAGCTGGCTTGAGTATGCGCGTCCTTATGCAGGGTCCATATGTGGGCAAGGGGTTCATTGGGGTTGGAAGACTCGAGGCAAGGGGATGGGTTCGAAGGCGCACGCTGAATAATGGGGACACGTTGGAAAAATGTGATAGGTACTCATATCGGCAGGAGGCTGAGAGGGCGGGCACAAGGTGCGGACAGCGCAGATATCATGAAGCTGTCCTCAGGACGTTGAATCCATCACAGGGTTCGCTCGTGCTCGTATGGTGGATGGGCCACAGGCTGGAGGCGCTCCAACTATGCTGTACCATTCCCGAAACATGAGCCTAATGTTCGCCTTGTTGAACGACGAAGCCAGCTGAGGACAACGATTGAAGAAAAGGAGGAGAGGAAAACGAAATCGAAGACAACTTGAGCGTGGAAGGACTCGGAGTGCGGTTGTGAGTTTGCCAGTGTTGTTGCAAAAATTAACAGTCAAATGACAGTCAATACTGATACAGCCCAGCCACCTGCACAGTCTCAGGGGCGCATGGCTTTGTCAGACTGGCAATTTTCATGGCCAGCTAGCCGGCACAAGCGACGGGATGGAACATTATTTCTCCGCCGCTGTCTGGACAATCGACGACTTCAAGATGGACCTCAACTTGCAATAACAACTTGAACAACAACATTCAAACAACATACTAGTACATCGAACATCCCAAACCAGGGAGTTGATTCCTTTCTCTTTTTCACCGTCTGATTTGGCCGCCACCTCTGTGCCGCATTTGACACTACTCTATTGATAGGGCTACCGTTAAACATTCCACCGAGATGAGAATGCCCGCATGAAGATTCGATCATCTGCCCTGCGGAGGCAGCCTTCTGTGTCCATGAAGGAGTTGATATTGTTCCTTCTGCTTTGTGGACTAACTAGGTGTACCTGTCTGTGTACTTGTCTCCTCCATGTCAATATGTGAGGGAGCTCGTCAATGTATTGGAATGCCACCGTGCACAGGCCAGACGCGAGGGTGGCCGGCCGATCGAAATTCCTGGTTGATGCCACTCATTCTTGACCTTACATGGAGTTGGCAACGGGGCTGTCTTGGTATGGTACAATCTGGGAATGACCAGCCCTCTCGACTCAAGGTATAAGTCGATACTTGTTGTTATCTGTTTGCCCGACTAATGTAAATGATCGATCTTTCCTAAAAAAATATCTCGTCCAACAGGTATTCCTCTCGCCGCGATGGCTGTGATTCGGAAACTGCTTTCTTTTTTGTTCGTCTCCTCGCTATGCTTTTCCTTTACTTTTGCCCAGGATCAAAAATGGACAGACATTGCGAACACTGTCCAAGATCTGCTTGACGCTATTCGCAAGTCTCACGAGGAGTATCTCGCAGAATCTGAGTCTGGATCGCGGATCGACCGCCGAGGCCCTGGGTTTGCTCGAGCACGTTATTGGCAACCACTGGCACCATCGCAGCGCCCACCGTCAACAGAGGACTTTTCCAGCCAATTATCCCAGCTCGTGCAGAGTCTGGGAAGCTCACTTGAGGAACTCATACAGTTAATAGCGTCACAGTTTGACATTGAGGATCTGCTTCCAGGGACGCATCCAACGCCGTCATCGACCATTTTACCTATCACCCAACTAACCACGCATGGATTTTCGTCGACTTCGGCAGCTGGGATACACACCAGATCGACGACCACTAACTCATTCGCGCATCCTACTCCTCCGTCCGCCCATACCTCAACCACGAGGACTACTACCACTTCTTCTTCCCTACCAAGCTCAACATACACTTTCAACCCCCAAGCCTCCGATCTAAACGTGGTATACTACTCACAAACAGACCTGACACCCGTGATCCCGCTGACACAAGTATGCGCCGACGACTCCATCGACATTGTCATTATCGCATTTGTAACAGCTCTCTTCAGTGACGGAGGCTATCCATCCATGAACATGGCATCGAATTGCTGGGCACCCAACGCCGCACAACAAGCGGCCGGCGCCACGAAGCTGCTCGACTGTGTGGGTGACGGCTTCGCCCAGAAAATCGCCATGTGCCAGAACCGGGGAAAAAAGGTCTTACTCAGCCTAGGAGGATCCGTGGGAAATCTATACATGGCCAGCCAAGACCAAGCGGTGGAAGCCGCACATACACTGTGGAATCTGTTTTTGGGTGGTTCCGACCCGGCTTTGAAAGCTCTTCGACCTTATGGCGAAGTGGTGTTTGATGGTATAGATATTGGTAAGTTTGACCGTTCCACCAATTCTGCTCAGATCAAGGGTCCTCCTTCAAACTTATTCTACTATGAAAAATGAGATGTACTAACTGCTGCTAGACAACGAAACCCCCTCCAACGCAATCCATCTCCCAACCCTAGCCTCGACGCTTCGACACCTCTTTGCCAACGACTCCTCGAAACCATACTACCTCTCCTCTGCGCCGCAGTGTCCGCGCCCTGACGCTTCTGTGCCCGTGCCCCAGCTAGTCAATGTCGTCGACTTTTTCAACGTGCAGTTCTACAATAACCCTTCCTGCCAGCTAAGCAGTACAGGTCAGGGATTCTATGCATCGCTACAGGCATGGTCTGGGGATTTGTTAGGTGCTGGTTCTGGTTCCAATACTTTTGTCCAAATCGACAATGGAATCACCTCCCCCCGTCTCTTAATCGGCACACCGGCCTTCCCGGCCGCAGGGTCAGGCTACGTCGATGTCGCGACGTACAAGAGTATCCTGACACAGGTCAAGGCTATGGCATTGCCGAACCTCGCGGGCGCCATGTTTTGGGACGGCGCGTACCAGGAAGTCAGTGGGCAGATGGTCGACGGAAGGAATGTGACATTTGCACAGGTCGTGAAGAGTGTTTTGGGTTGAAACTACCAAACTTCTTGGAAAATAATAGGTGGTCCAAACTAAAGCTTGTTCAGAAGCTGCAGGACGGTGCAGTTCTAGTACTGGGATATAACTATATGCCGTGTGATGAAGAGGGGGGTCAGCTGACGCCGCTTCAATGCAACGGGGATTCTGATGTTCTAGAAAGCGAACCGCTTCGTTTGAACGGTTGTTAGCATTTGGTAGGTAGGTTGCCGTCAGAAGAGGGAAATTTAAATGTATGCTCGTCATTCGATGCATGCGCAAACCAAGCATACAGCTGGTAATCTTTGGCGGAGATAAAATAACATATTCGATAAATGTCCACTCATAGCATTTGTACATATATACATATCCGCTAAGCACAGCCTTTTCGAGCTGCTTGGAAAGCACCAGTGTAGCGAGAAACAGGCCCGACCCAACCACCAACACCACCCGCTAGCCTAGATAGACAATATTCGTTTCGACCTTGGACCAGAAACATGCCCCAAAATACAGACACAAACAAAGAATCAGCCCCATGCATATACATATAACAACCAAAGATGGCTTTTTATGACTATTGTGACTGTTGGCCGTCCGGCATAGAAATCAGCGGCCACCCATGCGGACTCGGACCAGCCAAGTAATGACCCGGCGAGAAAATCATGAGCGGATCCTCGCCTGTGCCGCCGCCGCTGCCACTCCCGTCGAGACCGTTCGATGGAGCCCGTGACGGCGCCGGTGCCGGGTAACTAACATACAAACCAGCAGAATCGTTCAGCAGCGAAGCCAGCGATGTCGGGACATTCGACTGGCCAGTCAATGGGGACGCAAGCGTAGCGAGTCCTGTTGCCGGCGAGGGGGAGAATGGAGATGAAAACATGGGTGAAACCGGACTTGTTCCCGTGCCGTTGACGGCTCCATTTACCCCTGCCACCGGGTGGTGTCCTGGTTGCGCCAGAAACGGAATTGAAAGAGGAGGCCACTGCTGCGGTGGCGGAAGGGGGTTCGACGGCGACTGGGGCTGGCTTTGTGGTCGAATTTGGGCGTGCATGAGCAGGGGCTGAGGAAGTGTCTTTTTGTGTCGTGGTAGTGGATGGTGTGGCGCAGGGCTGCCACCGATCCCCAAGTTCAGACTGGGTTTGCTGTGGTTCAAGTTCTGTGGTCCGAGTTTTTGAGAAAGCGAGATACTAGACCCGTTGACGGGCATGAATGATGGAGTGTGTGATTGTCTACTGGTGGTATTATTGTTGTTGTTCGAGAGTGGTGGTTTAGGAGCCACGTCGACCATGAGTCTTCGGTATTCTTCTTCCAGAGCTTGCACACGAGGCTGAAATAACCGTTGTAAATGGTTGTGCGTTCCTAAAATTATCCAGTTAGTAAGTTCTTTGACGACGCAAACAAGGTCGGACTTACTCAACACCAAGTCAGCGTAGGCCATTAGAGAAATCCAGCCTTTCAGCTCGTTCCTCATGACGTCGAACTGTTCTACGCTCAATGCTGTTTTCCGGCGCCTGTAAACGTATAATGTCACCCCAAACCCGGTCGCATATGCCAACGTCGAGTGCCAGGTGAAGTCGACGCCTTTGTACTTGCTGGAAAGAATATGGAAGTTTTGGAGTAATCGTTTTGCAGCTTTGTGACAGATGTCCAGATGTCGCTCCTGGACCTCCGGGTCTTCGCTTGTACAACACACTGGATGGTGCAGGTTCAACTGGTATTCTGCTGCCCATGTGTCCATGAGATGAGTCGCAACGCTGAGATTGACATGCTTGGTTTCACCCTTGATCGATTCATCCCAGTCCTGTCGCCAAGCGTTGATCTTTGTGTTCAGTGCGTGCACCGTGCGAAGATAATCGGCAGCAGGCTTCCTGACTGCTATAACGTTGTTATGTAATTCGGTAAGTAGTGGAAGCAGCTTGGCCAAATGGATACAAGGCCAGAATTCGCAGTGGCCCGAAAGGGGGGCAACAATGCCATGCTTCGACAACTCCGAGTCCTTGATAGGTTTGGGTAGAGGGATGTCGATGTGCTGAAACTGCCATGGCGCAGGTAAACCAACCCTGCAGCCGGTCGTCACGCATATTCCCAGTATTGAGTGGAAAACTCTCTTGCGAAGTTCTTTTGAGAGAAGGTCTGTCTCGCCCTCGGGGAGCTCAATCTTGTCAGGATCACGATGATATTCCAACTCCATGGCTCGGACAAGAACTTTGTTGCTATAGGTCCACGAAACCCCTGGTTTAGGCAGGTTGCGGAAATGTAAGATGATCAAAGCCATGGCCTGCATGGAGCTCAGAGACCGATCGTGCCAGAGGTCACGGTAGAACCCTAGCGCATAGTGCAAATACCGATGCGAGTCTTCAAACTTTTCTAATGAGTGGTAGTGATTTCGGACGGCAGTCTGATGTGCAATAATGGCAAACACCATGATTACTTGCACCCGTTCCGCAGGCGTCATAAGTGCCGGATGATCATAGAATTTGTGTACCAGTTCCAGGAAGCTGGGCCGGTGCACAATGGGGACATATTGAGACATGATGACGAGGAAGTGGTTGGCGTCACGCAAAGCTTCCTCCCTGGGAGGGAGTTTGGGATCTTCCACCCGTTGGTACCCTGCTATCGTGTTGTAGATGGATGTTCTGGAGAGATTGAAGCGGTTCCTCATGTCTGGATGGTAGTCCCTCATCATCTCACAGTCCCATGCTGCAATGTCGATTGTTCCATCCATGATATCGACCAGCGTGCCTTTGACTGGGCCAGAACGCAGTGGCTCTGAGTTGTCTGGCGCAGGCCAACCGACATAGCGTGAGTCTGGAACAGATGCTGTAGGATACGGCACGACAACAGGAGCAGACTCTTTGGGCGTCGCGGGCACAGGGAGCTCTTTGGGATCGTATCGTTGCAAAGGCCCGTACCTGTGCTGGTAGGCGGCCAGTTGCTCCCTCAAGAAAAGCAGCTCATTTTCTGCGCGGTCTGACTCTCCTCTTTCCCGGGCATGACCTGTGACGCGGTCGGTGGTGTAGCATCGCAGGCCCTTTTGACGACACGGCTGACATGCCATGGGATCTGCGTCACATTTCATTTTCCTCTCTTTGCACCGATCGCAAGCCTGTCCCGTACGGGAGGTCGCCGCAAGTTTTTTTCGCACCGCATCGCTGTACTGCGCCGGTTCTTCATTGAGGGTCTTGATCCGTTTCGAGGGACGGCCACGGTCAGCGGAGGGCGGAGAGGATCGCTTCACTGGGGGCGTATCCATGGAACGGGCGCAACTGATTGCGAAGGACACGGACTGGGAGTTCCTCGTCCGTGGTGGGAGCAGGAAGCGTGGAAGGATTCCAAGGCTAATGGCAAGTACCGCCGTGAAACCGAAGACGAAGTCCCTAGCCTCCTACGCCCCCCCGGGGATTGGCGGGCGCACGATGAGCGAAAACCGCGGCGATGATCGACCGTCCGATCTGATTTTTTCCAGCGATATGGGATTTGTTAGGCGGAGATCGCAGAGCGTGGACGCCGGAGGAGGGTCGCCTGGGGGGCGACTGGCTGGAGTTAGGGGCGCCCCCACGTAACGTTCCGGGGGTGACATCCGCCCGAGCGGCGCAGGTGGCTACGTGCGTGCTGCTAGTATTGATAACGTGCAACTGCCGGCTTTGGGTGGCGCAGTACTCAAACCACCTATGCCAAAGGACCTGTAAGGAGACCCTCCACAGGCCCTTCTGGGGGCTGATGCCAGCAACTGGAGATGGACTACAGGTACCGTTCTAGAGATCGCCGACGGTCTCCACGAACAGGATCTTAGACTCTTTTCCGAGCGTTGCACTCGCCGATGGGCAAGTTTATGTTTGGCATTTAATCCACAATCTTATGAAACTGCCACTATCCTATGCTGCTGTACCCTCCTCTAAGCTGGTAGTCATCTTTTGAGCGATCCACCTGGCGCGCCCCCAGGTCTACCGGGCTCTATTCTTTCAGTCCTACAACGTACACTGGCACGACTTTTCCGCGGAGTTGCTCCAGCTACGGCGTACTAGTACGAGGCGTTCCAAATTGTCGTACTTCTCTTACTAAGCTGATCTCTGCACGTGATGTTGAAAATGGTCTTGGCGGCTTCACTTCACAAGGCTGATGGCGATTCAACCTGCATTTGAGTTGAAGCCCACCTACCTTAGATACCTCATAATGTGTTCTCACCAAGCTCACCTCCTTTTCTCCTATTAATTGGAGGAGTTCAGGTAGAGCTCGACATTGGTTCGAAACATGGAAACCCCCCTAATCTCATGGCATGAAACTCCTCTCATTTGACCGCTGTCTAATGCACTTGCAGTCGATCTTGATAGATGATAGAGGCTTGGGTTCGTCTGAGACTCCTCAGAAATGCCTTTGTCTAGGCACGACTCCGGTCAATCCGGGAGAAAGGTATCTGAATATCATCAGGCAGCTCCTTCGAGGTCGCCTCACCGGCCTATTACTCCTCACCAGTCCGATCCAACCGCCAGCCCAAGTGGTGGCAATGCTCTGTTTGTGGAAGACCGAAGAGGAGACCGTCAAAATCTAGCGTACGGGGCCTTGGATCGCTACGCGGTGCCACGCTATCGTCCTTCTGGTGGAGGTGCACTCGTTGGCCTCGACCGCAGATATCGTATCACTTCCCGAAGCGAGACTCGTTATGAAATTGAGAATGTGGAAACTGACTCCAGCCGAAGGACACGTAAGCAGTCTCTCCTGTCGGCCGTGGTCAGCGAGGATCCTCCACCCTTGAAACCAAAACAAACCAGTGACAGTGACTTACAAAAGGACTTCCTGGAGCTCGATAATGGGCATTCGAGGAAGCGAAGACGGATAACTGACAGATCCTGCCCACAGTTGTCTGATACAGATGGAGAAAGCTCTGTCAGCTCCGAGTCTGATGCAAAAGACTTGAACCACGATGCGTTTGAAGCCTTCAAGCAAGACCCCGTCCATCAACGACACGTGGAACTTTCCAGGGCCACCGTCGAGAATCCCCAGGATCCCGAAGTATGGCTGGCTTTCATTGAGTACCAACAGACGTACTTCAGCCACGAGCAAGGGCTTCGAACCTCAGGTATCACCGCTGGAAGAAGTCTCATCGACCTGAAAATTTCACTGTACGAACAAGCACTCTCACATGTCAAAGACGCCAAAGGACGACAAGCCCTGATATTAGGTATGATGCAGGAGGGAAGCAAGATCTGGGACGCTGAGAAACAGGCTTCACAGTGGCGGAAATTCCTCCACAAGGACAGCTCTTTTGAACTCTGGGTCCTGTATCTGAATTTTGTACAGAGTAATCAAGTCAGATTTACATTTGAAAGCTGTCTGGACCTTTACAAGACCTGCCTCAAGAACTTTCAATCTTACGAAAAAGGCCGCCGGCGAGATATGTGCTGCGTCTACCTTGTCCTCCGTTGTACTCTACTCTTTGGGCAATGCGGGTTCACCGAGGAAGCCATTGGAATCTGGCAGGCTCTTCTCGAATACAATTTCTTTCGGCCTGAAAAGCCAACATCTGAGGAGCTGTTCGAATCTTTCCAACAGTTTTGGGAAAGCGAGGTCGCACGCATTGGTGACGAAGGTGCCACCGGATGGAAATCTATGTCGAGCGCAGATTTGGAAGCGAACACAGATAGGAAGGCTTTCGAAATACCTTCTGGTGATATTGCCGCTTGGGCAAATGCCGAGAATGATATGGACCGTTGTGCAGCCATGCCGGCACGGTCTTTGGATGACGTGGATGAAGCGGACCCATACCGAGTGCTTTTGTTCTCTGATATCAAAGACTTCTTGTTTGCGACAGACACACCCGAAGGTTCACGGCTGCTTCAAGACGCGTTTCTGCTCTTCGTGGGGCTACCTCCGTTGTCGGATTTGCCTGAACCGAGACAGTGGAGAGGAGATCCTTTCATCTATACTCAGCTGCATGCTGCTGCAAACTGGTCGCTGTCGGTGATGTCCAAACAGGACACTTTTGACTTGGCCGACGTCCTTTGTGAGACTGGACCTTCGTTGCCCATGAATGTGCTGTCCACTTCACGAACAGTCACCCGGTACTGTTTGCATTTTGTCCGCCGCTGCCTTCTCCAGCTCGCCATAGTGGCCTACGGTGGAGGAATGGTTGAGTCATTGCCTGTGTTCGCTATCTCTCTAGAATCACGAATCGACCCGAAAGCTGCCAGGAAACAAGCAAAAGCGATCCTAAAACGAATTGACAGCCTCAGCTTATACAACGCATATGCCATCCTCGAGTTCAAAGCGGACAACTTTGACAGTGCGGAGAGGGTGTGGTTCACCGCAATCTCTATGAGCGAGTCACTTGGATCAAGTGCTGAGGGCAGGACTTTCTTGCTTTGGCGTGACTGGGTGTGCTCGTACATGTACCGGAAGCAATTTGCTAGGGCGAACCTGCTGTTGAGTATGTTGACGGATCGTCGAGTTGATGTCTTCAGGTTGCACGACGACATGACGACCAGTACTCCCTCAGCCGCAAAGCATATCAAAACTGAACACCATCTCAAGGCACAACTCGAATGGAACATTTCTCGCCGCCGTGCGGAGTTGCTGCCTATCTTGATTGACCTGTTGGCGGTCCACAGGTATCTCACGCAGAACCAGCGCTTAGATTCTGCTCTGGACATATATGAAACATACTTGCAGGTCCTCGGTGAGAGATGGACAAGCCAGGACCCCGTGGTGGAAGCTGTGCATGAGCGCCGCGCACAGATCATGCACGCTCACGCAACAGTGTTTAGCTTGCCCTACAAGCCAAAGACGTTTCACCATATACTGACTGACTCAGCACGGGCGTTTCCTCACAACCTCCGCCTTCTAATGCTACAACATCATTATGCGCAACAATCGGGGCTGTTCGACCGGCTACGTGAAGTCGATCCTCATCCTCGGGGTCTACGGCAGGCAGATCGCGGAGACAGTAGCGTGGTGCCGTGCCTCTTCGATCTTTTGAAAGAGTTGACAAGACCATCTTATGCTGGAAGCACAGATCACAGCATTCGCTCAGCATTCAAGCGAGCTACAGACCAGGAGGCAGCAGGATACCATTCCTTGGCCATCTGGAAGGCTTATCTGATGTGGGAGCTTTCTGTTGCTTCCAGAGGAGGACGCCCAACAGAAACTACCAAACCTTCTAGCGACTTCAAAAAACACCATGGAACCCAGACGCTGACAGAGGTGTTCTACGCTTCATTGAGGGCCTGCCCGTGGGCTAAAGAATTGTACATGTTGGCTTTTACCGAGGAGCCGCTGCGCAACACCCTAGGGCTGGAATCTCTCAAGCGAATCTATGGCAGTATGCAAGACCGAGGATTGAGGCTGCATATTGACTTGTCTGGGTACTTAAAGTAGCATAAAGTCATCAAGCTGCTCATGGCGTCCGTTGCTGATCCTCATCCACCCTCAGTTTTCCGCAATCCAACTAGGTGCCGACCACCCATTGCTGAGCTTAGTAATGGCTAAAATAACTGACATGACTCGTGCTGATGCCTGCGACGACTTCTTGACCGACTCAGTTCTTGGCTAGTTATCTCCGATTTTAAATCCGGCCGCTGTTCTCCAAACTTTTTTTGGCCTGGAAACTTTTCAAAGGCCTACGAGTATCACAAGGCGAGAGTTCCAGAGTGCCTCGCAGTTGCATACACTCCACGCCGATGTTCAATCGTATCTAGATTCCTCCGACGTGGAGATTTATAGGTTGTCCTATGATTGATTGACGACCTATTTCCGCAGCACCAAAAGCTGCCATGACTTCCGCTTTTGCTGCGCAGTTGCGCACCATCGCCGCAAACTCTACGAACGAACTTGATCTACGCGCACGCCGCGATGCGCACGGCGAATCTCTTGTTTTCGAGCGAAGCGTTGCCGTCAAACAGGACTGGGAGACAATCTACCAAATATGTGTCGAGGGGTTTCAAGAGTTATGCATGCTAGATACCCGGCTTCGAGAATTTGAGCAGAACCTTTACAGCCCACAGGCGAAAGAGCAGGATAGGGAACAATTGAGCCGGTCTCAAAATGAGGCTCTCGGTATCGTGATTGACCGGTGTCTCGCACTTCTTGGATCCAAAGTCTTGTTGCGCCCGGGAATCAGGGCTGTCGAGTGGTTGGTTAGGAGGTTTCGAGTGCACGTCTACAATACCAGCAGCCTTCTCGCAACATTCCTTCCTTATCACGAGAGCCTTGTGTTCCGAAACGTACTGAGCATCATACCGGCAAACAAAATTACCAACGAATGGAAGTTTCTCGGGCCATATCACAAAATTGCGGCCAATGTTCCCCGGCATGCCATTGTTTATAGCGCCATTCACAACGATGCGTTCTTTTCTGTGCTGAACAACTATGTGTTCCGGGCTTGTCAGGAAGAAGCGCACCATCCCCAGCTCATGCGCTTTTGGAGCAGCGTGGTCATCGAGGCCATCACTGGCAGACTCAACCAAGTGAAGAGTGGGAGGAAAGAGGTACAAAGGCAGCGGTTGGAGGATGCTCTCCTCAAGATCCTACCCGTTCTGAGCGAGGGTTTGGAAATAACAGGCTGCACCGAGCTGACCATCACGTGCTTCACGGTCGCAATTGTGTTGGCAAGCAATGCAGATCTCGAGGATAGTGTACTTGATTCTATCATCGCGGCCATTGCTCCTTTCGTCCTCAATCGCGCAGTTGACCAAGCCAAGGTATTGACTTGCCTTTGCGTTCTCGTCTCGAAGAAGACCGAGCGAAATGTGTCAAGGGACGTCCTGGAAATTCTCACCAAAGTGCGTCATCTTGATGTCCGTTTATTAGAGCTACGAACCCGGGTACCTATCGACGGACTATGTGAAGCAATGTTCAATTCGCTGCTTAAAGGTCTGAACAAGTCTAACTTGGACACAAGCTTCGGTCTCATTGAACAATTGATCGGCTTGAGTGCCGACCCCGTCCCTTCGGAGACTGCCATTCGTTTGGTGGCGACCTTACTTCGAAAGGTTCCTAGATCGGCTCCAGCGGGGCCATTTGAGTCGATGGTCCAAGAGAGGATCGTCCGAATCTTGCAGAAGCTGAATGACAAGGCCACCTTCTCATCCGTGTTACCTCAAGCAGCGTCGCTCGCAGAACGGCATCTTGATGAGCTTGAGGCCATTATTCAAGGGACTATCGCTTTGCCGGATAGCTCAAACCTCTTGGAGTCAGAATTGATGGAAGTTGACGACAACGGCACTTCCTCAGACTCCGATGAAGAACGCATAGACTCTATGCTGGCGGCTTTGCCAACCGAATCTGCCGAGATGTCCTTCATGGCCAACAATCATACTGCATTGTTCGATCACCTGCTCCATGCTTTTGCTCAGTGTTATAGAAAAGAGCCTTGGATGGTCAAATTTGAAAGCTTGCCGATTTGGCGGCATACCAACGAGAAGCCGTCTGATCTGCTCACCAGTTTTTTCCTGAGAGTGGCTTATAGCGCCGCTCCCGACTCTCAGCGATCTGCAGCTCTTCTATACCTTTCGAAAAAGATGGAACACGGATCTTGGCAAGAGACTCAGCTGCTACTGCCCTATCTCACCATCCTCCTCGCCGATCCTGCTAGGCCGGTTCGACGAGCCGCCGTGGCATGTGTTGTTGCTGTCCAGAACTGCGTGTCAAAAAGTCTTGCAGGAGAGAGCAGCACGCAGTCAAATTCGGAGACGGTATATGATGCCCTGGCAATGACAAACGTGAAGCGCGTCTCTTCTGCTCAAGCCAAAAAGATCGTTGCCCAAGTGTATCTGCCAAACTTGGAGGAGTGCGTTCTGGACCCCTCTCATACCCGGACGGTCTTGGAGCATGCTCTTGACAGCCATTCACGTACGTCCTCTATTGGGTCGAAAGCTGTCAATGTTGAGTTGAAGAAGTCACTGCGGCAGGATCTATTTGACCTATTGACCGGCTGCGCATTGAACAGTCCCCTGCTCAGGGTACAATTGGGCCTTGTGAGTCTCCTCATAGGCGTTCAGAAGGTCGGCAGTACTACGACAAGTAAAACGCTCCAGCCGATTTTGAGACATTGGGCATCTTTGACTGGATCCGCGGCTACATCTGCTGCCAGTTCAGAAGGGTTGGATGTGGCTCAGATTGACACCACGCTGGTACAGTTGATCAGTGCTCATGACAAAGAAGCAGTCCAACAAGTGCTTGAAACTGTCGAAAGGGAAAAGTCAAACCTCAGGCCTGAATTGGTCAATGCCATTTTTGCCAGAATCACTGCGATCTGGAAAGACCTGCGGCATGAATCCCAGCTGACAACTGCCAAACTCCTGTTCGACATGTCCTTCTCAGAGCATGAGACTATCGCAGCAGGCAGCCAACAAATCTTGCGCTCTGTGACTCTCTCCACCGAAGCCCTTGCTACGTTGCTGGACCACTCGTGCTCAGGTCTTGCTCAGATGCAGGTGGAAGTGCCACCCAAGAAACGAAGAAGGATCAGTCACGGTCGTGAAAGCATACCAAAAGAGATGGTTCTGCAACTGGACATCGCTGATGCCAGACTATCCCTCGCTTTGGAACTGGTGGAAGACTCGAGGCCTGAAGACCATCCTCAGCTGCTCGGCAGTCTGTTCGAAATTCTCATCCATTTGCGAAGGTTGAAAGAGAAGAGCACATCAGAATCTCCGTACCTTCTGACGCTTTGTCTAAGCAACATCTTGGCCATCATCGAGAAAGCCAGACAATCACGAAAGCCCAATGTCGACTTGACGAGTATCCGCGCCGATCTTGTGACAGACTGTGTTCGCTCGTCTGAGAACCCGCAGGTACAATCCACAGCTCTTCTGCTGCTGGCGTCCTTGTCCTCGATAGCCCCAGATCGTATCTTACATACAATCATGCCTATATTCACCTTCATGGGTGCCGGGATATTGTCAAGAGACGACGAGCGATCGGTCTACGTCATTAATCAGGCAATTGACCAGATCATTCCTCCTCTCATCAGTACTTTGAAGCGACAAGATGCGAAGAATCTCGTCCACTCCACATCAAGTCTCCTTTCGAGCTTCGTTACAGCCTACGATCACATTCCGCAGCATCGACGCGTGGCATTCTACAAAAGGCTGCTAGATCGACTGGGTGCCGACGATTTTGCATTTGCTCTCGTTGCACTCCTTGCATCAAGAAGATCCCACGAAGACATGACACCATTCTTGTCCGTTCTGACGGGGGATCTACCAGCAGCAACTCAGCTTTTGACGCACCGCAAGATCCTCGCCTTGACACGAGACATTTTCAGCGACAAGCCACACAATGCGGAGCCGCTCTTGGATATCAACAAATCCACCAAAGCAGACAGAAAAGGGCAGATCGCTATAATTCTGCTCGAGACAGCCGGGAAACTTCTTGAGACAAAGGGTCTCAAGGCCCATGTGAAACGGATGCAAAAGAAGGACGGGGCTGAAGCTGAGTCCTTCTGGACAGAATATAAGCTGTGTCTGCAGGATCAGTTGGTTATGCTCAAGAACCAAAAGGGTCAGCAACACACCGAATTGACCGCCTCGACAAGGAAATGTCTGAGTGCGCTACTCGCACTGCCGTCTCTTGCCGAGCTGTTCGCAGTCATGCCTAATCTCCTCCAAGAGATGGAGCGAGTCGGTGATCGGGAACTTCCACCGCTGGCTCTGAGGGTGCTAGCTGCTCAACTCCAGCACAACCCTGCAAAGGACAGCAAGACGCAGTCTGAAGCCATGACCTTCCTGCCTACAGTTGAGGAGATCATCCGGACGACTCAGGACGTCTCGTTGCGGCATGCGGCTATCGCCTGCCTGGACCGCATCGTGGAGGTATATGGACGCAAGAGTCCGGATGACATCATGTCTGCCTCAATGACCCTCATCGAGGGAGATTATGGTCTCTCCTCCCAGGACACGAGGACGCAGATCATGTCGGTTCTTTGCGTGGCTTCAATGATGGAAGTCCTCAAAGAGGCGGCTGTGCCGATCGTGCCTCAGTCCATGCCAAAGGTGCTGGATCTGTTGCGACGGAGTCTCGGCGACAAGGAACGGAACGAAGAGCTGCACAATGCGGTATTCACTCTACTTTCGTCTTTCCTGTCATACTTGGCATACATGGTGTCGGACGACAACGTGGTGGAGATCTTGGAGTTGTGTTATCGTTCATGCGTGGCTGAGATGGACGCGTCGTGCAAGGAGTCTCGAACCGAGACTTTGTCCCTGCTCGCGCACAAAGTCGACTTGAGCACGGTTGCAACCAGTCTCAGTCAAGCATGGAAGGCCGTGACGCCAGAGCTTGGTGTCAATGCCGAAGCAGTCACCGAGTGGCTCGATGTCCTGTCTCAAGCCATTGAAGCAAACAAGAAGGTCAACGTCGTGCGTGCTGCAGAGACGATCTCAACATTCATGTTTCAAGTACTGGATCTTCGTCGGTTGTATGTCACAACCACAACCGGCAGCAATCTCCAAATCACACCCGAGGACATTGACGCCATTGAGTCTCGCCTGCACACCGTGAGCATTACTTTCATCTACAAGCTGAACGACACCGCGTTCCGGCCACTATTCGAGAGCTGGGTTGACTGGGCCTTGACCGCGTCGGATCTTGCGGAAAAACAAGAAGAATACTCGGAGCCCGCAAAGACAGCCCGCGAAACCAGCCTGTTCAAGCTCGCCACGCACTTTTTCGAATCTCTCAAGAGCATCGTCACCTCGTATGCCAGCTACATTCTGGAGCCTGCCAACGAAGTATTGAAGACTCTGGCCGCTACAGTCGACTCATCCAGCTCCAGCTCCAGCTCCAGATCTTCCAAGAACAAAAAGGACAAACCTGTCGCGACAATAACAGACGAGAAACTCCTACTCTACAAATCAACCCTCTTACTTCTTCGCACAGCCATGACCCACGACGCCGACAACTGGTTCTCATCCCCGACTCACTTTTCACCTCTGTCGTCATTACTCATCGACCAACTCAAACTCGCCACGACCAAGAACCCTAGGAGTCTAAGATCGGCCGTCTTCGACTCTGTCATTCCGACCATCGTAGCCCTGGCCACCGCGACAATCGACACGCCCGCCCACCATCACGCATTGAACCATGGCATCTGTCAACTTCGTCACAACCCGTCAGCGGGGGTGCGGTTGGCCGCGATCAGAACTCATCTTGCTCTTACGGAGAATCCCGAGGTTGGCGAGGAATGGGTTGCCAATGTCGTGGTTGGGGGCACTAGCACCGAAGGTGTCGGAGGGCCAGGTGAGACTATGGTCTACGTCAATGAGAGTCTGGAGGATGATGACGAAGAGGTCGAATCTGAAGTTCGGAGATGGGTTAGGTTGGTTAGGGAGATGGTTGGGGAGGATGTTTTTGAGGTTTAAACAGGCTCTGGAGAGCTCAACTAGTAGTAAAAGTACCGAGGTAGTGTGCGAATTGGTACAGGTTAGTTGCACTGCAGATACTAGTATTGCAGAACCACTTCCCCAGAAAAGAAAGAAGAAATTCGGATGGATCAGGTACTTTGGAGAATAGATACGTTTATTAATTAATCGTCGTTGTTGTCGAGAGAACAATTTACTATCTACTCCACGATGAAAGAAAATGAGTAAAATCGATCGGCAAATAGTATCAGTATGGCAAAATATACCAAACTCCATTCATAAGCTAGCGGGATACACGCACGAATTCAAGTTACTTGAACCTGGCCTTGTTCATGGTACTGCATTCCGGACGCAAACTGACTTGCACATTCTTCAACCAACAGCTGAACCAAACACAACATAACAAATCGAAGAACGAACCAAGCACGAAACAATTCGTTAAATCAGTTTGCATAACCAAGAGAACAAGCAACTTGCAAGACCACATCGCGACCAAACCAAAGACCAATTCAAGACCAAACCGAAACACCGACATCGATACCGACACCATCACCTGCATCAAGTCACCAACCAGCCTTCAACCTTGCCGATGGATTGCCTGGTTTGTTGTCCATAGTCCACGGTCCATGGTCAACCGACAACATTTCCCTCAGTGCGTAGCCAGCTACCATCCACTCCTTCCCCCTTTCCCGCAGTCCTTACAGCCACCATGCAAACCCCATCGTAGCGCACCCAATTCCGTCCCAGTTCAACTCAACTGGACTCAACTTGATCATCGTCACCTCAATCAGAGATAGAACATCGTCTTCTCCAGATCCGGATGGAGCTTCAAATTCACGTTCGCCATGGCGGCATCAAAACGTTGATTCGTACTGCCAGGACTGTAGATTCTGCGCATGTAACATCGAGCCCGATCGGCAGCCAAGTCGGCATAATACGCGGCAGGACAGACTCCGACCGAGCGTGTGGCCCTGCCGAAGAGATAACACAAATTGTGCGTCATCTGGGCGATTTGGTCGCGACCAAAGGTCGTCCCGTTGTGCAAAATCACATAGTGTGTGGGACGGGCTGTTCCCTGGATGGCCTTCTGGCTGATCAGGAAAAAGTCCTGGCCTTCGCCGTATGTGATGTGAGAATTGACCAGTGTGCCTGGAAGAGGGTTGTGGTTGTAAGGAGGGCCTGATGATGGACCTGGGCCACCACCACCGCCACCTCCACCACGACCGCGACCGCGACCACCGCGGTCACCACCGCTGGAATAACCATCTTCGCCAAATCTGCCTCTATTACTGCTATTGCCTCGACCTCTGCCTCTGCCACTTCCCCTGCTGTCGCCTCGGCCTCTGTATTGACCGCCTCCTTGGCCGCCGCCACCACTTTTGCCGCCACGTCCGATGAACAGGTCATCATTCTCCTTGTCGGTCTCTGGAAACAGACGAGTGTTGTGGCGTTTGACGGCGCAGATCAGGATGATTGGAGGGGGCTTTGTTTGCGGCTGGTTGAGCTGTGTGAGCAATCTTCGAACCCCCTCCTGGATAGAAGGAAACTCTTGCGTCTTGCACATCTCAAATTGACCCTCGGACAGACCATCTCTATAGACGATGATCTTGTCAGGCAATTTCTTATTGCGTGTGTAATAGTCGAGGATGCGTTCATAGACCAGCGTATGGAGATTGACGACCCTTTCATTGGACTCTTTGTCCTTTTTCTTTCTGTCCTTGTCGTCAACTGTTGCCTGACTTACAACGTTCTCCTTCAAGCTTGCAGGCCATTGAGAAAACTCTGGATCGACACTGCCCACGACCGCAGCTACACTCGGAGCTCCCTTCATGGCCCCCAGACCTGGATGCGTCACGTCGATACCGATGATCATTGTAGTCGGGGTCAGGATTGGCCCTTTGTCGTTGCTGTCGAGCGCTTGATTTACCGCCGAGACATCCAGCTTCAGATTTGCCTTCATGGCCAGATTTCCAAGAAAGTCAGGGGTAGTCTTGGGTCCAAACGTAGCCGTGGGTCCATATCCAACTCTCGATAGCACATGGCAAACGGTTGATAATCCCACTTCCTGATCTCCGATCTGTTTGATCGCACTGTAGAGCTCGACATCTTTCCGGGGTAAAAGGAGAACTGCAAGGTGGACGCGGCAATTTTCTTTCAGATCTCTAAGCACAGTTCTGATTCCATCGCCTAGCTGCTTGATGGCATTGTGTTCATGAGGGGCTGGCAGGCGCGTACACGGCAATCGATAGATATGCGTTGGACGTTGGGGATGGCGGACGAACTCTGAATTCTTGATGCCAAGGCTGCCCAGTTGGTCTCCAAAAGACCCCTTAAAAGTGTCCCGGACGTTCTGCGTGGCAGGTGTTCCACCTTCAAGGCAAAGCTCAGCGTATGTCCATCTGAATCCCTTGGCTGGCTTGAAGAACGATTTTCTCACAAGATTCCACGATCCGTACCTTAGCGATTGAGAGTCAACTTGATCTGACTGGCTGCCCGACTGCGAAGCTTGAACCCCGTATCTTACAGTTGGTTGCTTGAGCTTGAACACCGGCACTCGGACAAGGTTTTGTTCAAGTCCAAGACCAAACTCGCTGGCGCCTGGTTCTTTGTTTCCGGGTCCGAGGAATACCTCCTTGCCTTTTTGTATTATCAGGGACTTGTTTTCAACGGGGCCTCGGATCCCAGCTCTGGGCTTTTCGGCAATATTGCGATTCATCTGGCCAGGTATGACCTCAAGACAGCCTGCTGGGATGGTCTTGCGGAAATCGCCATCGCCGAGAACAACAACGATATCATTACTTACTCTGCCTGAGATGTCCTGATGATTCTCACGGAAGTAGTTGGAAACACTCTGAATGCCCTGTAGTCTCGCCGGAAGCATTTGGCAATTTCCTGGAAAGGGTTCTTGGTTTGGAGTACGCGGTGTTGCAATATTGCTCACTCTTGCAATGAAATCCTTGTCAGGGCCGAGATAAGTTGTCCTTACCCGTAGACCTCTCAGGAAGCCGGCAAGCGGGTGTCGCACGTCATACCAAGGGAGGTTCTCGTAGTTGCCCTTTTTCCATGCATTGATCAGCTGTTGAAGGCTCTTTGACGTTCCGAGTTCATAAAAGACTTGCGTAGAAGTGTTGATGTTAAGGTAGAGTCGACCTTGCTGCGCGAGCACGGCGCGGACACTTCTGGCAAACCCTGGAATTACTTGTAAACCACTGGCCAGATTCTTCTCAACGATAGCGTCTCCGGTTTCAGTCTCGACCCGGTTGCCAGGACGGAGTGCAACTCCATAGAATCTCTGTCCATTCACTGTCGTCAACTTTGCATCTTGCATCGTTCCTTGATTGGCCCGCGAAGAGAAGCAACGGCGATATGGTCTGTAGCTGAAGACAGTGTTCAAGGCTTTGATAGTTTCTTCCTTCCGATGATAGTTTTCTGCGGTGACGGCGCTGTTATCAGTGCTGAGGAACTTGAACAGTTCACCGATAGAGAGTTTGATAGGCTCTGATAGAGTAACGTCAAAGACATCACAATCCGGGTGTGGGCCAGCTTGGTATTCATCATAGTACCGGATATGGAGTGTAGGTGAATTGTTTCGAAAATGGATCTCGCCGGTAGTGATTACCTCTGTGCCATAGTCGGTGGCCATGGGAATTTTCGTGAACTGTTGCAACGCGTTCATTACTAGCCACACGATTCTTCTCTTCTTGGCACGCCCAACACCAGGATCGTCATCATCGCGGTCCTCGGCTGGATTTGGGGCTGGCTGCTCTTTGCCCTTTCCTTTGGTCGGCGTAGCGGCATCACCTCCCTTCCGCAGCTTCCGGAAACTCAAGGTATACCGCCAAAGTTCTGAAACCGTTCCGACTTTGATCTCGAAGTAGTTCGCAAGCAAATGCCCACCTGATGAAAGACTGAGTTTCTCGAAAGACTTGCTGAGGCTCGCTGGAGTAGGCTGAGGTTGTTTTCCAGGAGTGAATGAAGGAGCAGTAGGAGTTAGATTGGATTTAGGAGTCCCAGGACCAGATGCACCACCTGTGCGCTTGCCCCAGTCGGGTTTGAATGCGCACATCTTCGCAATGCCAGGCCGCTGCCGAATGATGAAGAGCCAAGTGAGGGAAGAAGAAGAGTTGGACGCGGTAGAATAAATAGAAAAGGGGAAATCCTAACAGGTGCTTTCCTGCGGAGTTTGCCATGATCCTGCTTTGGTTTGGTACATCGTCCACCGTTTGAGCACAGCAATAGATGACGTTCCCTTCGCCAGCTGAGACACAACGAAGCGCTTCATTCCCAAGGATGGTCAAACAGCAAAACGAACATGTTTGCAAACACACTTGATGGATGCCAGTGTAATGCTCAAGAATAGTTCATGCAGCTCGATCTGCCCCTTCAAACAGAACCATGGGATACGAACCAAAAGGGTAGGAGGTAAACAGAGCAAGAGGGCAAGAGAGCAAAAGAAGCCAACAGGAAACAACAACCTAACAGAGGGAAACATGTGCAAACCTTTCGTGTAGACACGGCGTCGCCGGGAAAACACACAAAACTGAAGGTCCAGACATTGCCCCCTCCTTTCGTAAAAGCAACCGAGCCATTGAAGTGTTCAAGCCAGAATGCTGCAAGATCGTCGGAAGGCAAACATCCGGAAGGGTCAGCTGGAAGACCACGCAACATTGTATCTTCTAGTCAGAATTTTAGGAATTGTCGAGCACGGCGAGTTGGTGAATCTGCTCGACCATCTGATGAAATCCTGCAGTGTGCGGAAGCCAGCAGCATTGAAACCGAGCCCCAAACCAGACGTCTACCGCGCCTTCCGGCATTCAACGACACCTCGCTCCTTTGATGTTTGTAAACCTACCGGACCTTATATTCACAAGCTCATGGAGCAGCACCATTGAAGGCGTGGTGATGTGTGCAATTGCCCATTCCATCCGAGTCCACCGTCTGCCAACATTCATTTTTGAGTGTCCCGTCCCCACGAGCAGCAGGCATATTTCTCAGTTCGTTGTCCTCATGCATTCCATTACTTCTCTTCGTGACCGTGGTCCAGAAAGGCCCAGGTCGGCGGGCTCGAAGCGACGACTGTGGGACGAAAGCATCCTAAGGTGCATGAAGCGCGCTCTGCAGGAAACGTAAAGGTGGGCGCCAGCATCCAATTTGTTTTCAACATCGCTCTGTTGTTGTTTCATCCATACTGTATAGAAAAGAGAACCGCGAGGAGAAAAGCTTGCAACAGAAATTTCAATCCTCCTGGCTTGGGCGAGCGAGGTACTTTACCGCCTTCGAGAGCATCTGCGACGCGAAACTTGGTGAAGAGCGATACTGCGCTAGGACCAGTTGCAGTCCACCGCAGTCTATTTGTCCTCTGCCTTCGATGAGGCCGAGTCAACTTGAATCAGGAATGCCCTCGACCTGCCAGTTGGAATAATAACATATTTTCAAGCAAATGAACCTTACAATAGGGGGGCTTGTCATGAACGGCATTGCGCATTTGCACCGCCACAGACAGTTGCACATAGCTAGCTACCTTTGCCCCTGTCGCTGTGTAAGCACATACGTACTCAACAACCCACGGTACCAGCATAGTCCACCACTCGTCGCTCATAAGCAACCATTTCATGCCTTCGTGCTTCGAGTCTGTCTCGTAGCTCGGACAGCTGGCTGCTCATGCTTGCCTGTGCGCTTCGCCGCTGACCCTTTTCCGTTGGGCGTGGAGGCTTTCTGCTTTCCACCACCCCTATTTCTGGTCTTGGTGGCCCCAACCTTGCTTTGCGCCTTAGTCGGCGATGGTGACGACTCTTGTTCTGACGCTGCCTCCTCCGTCATTTCGACATCATCTCCAGCATCCTCGCCTTCACTCATGTCCTCGTCATTGTCAGTACCGTCATTGTCCTGGGCCTCACTCGCATCCGACTGGTCGCCCTTCTGATCCTCACTTTTCGAGTTGCCATCATCTCCCTCACTGACTCCCTCGTCGTCGTTGTCCTCTTCTTCAACATGTGTCACCGTAGGCCTTTTGTTCTTGGTTGATTTCGCTCGAGATGCCAGCTGGTCGACCCTCTCCATTTCAGCATCATCATCATCACTGTCTGCCTCGGCATACGACACAGCGTTGGAACGGCGAGCGCTCTTTCGAGACGGCATCTCCGGGCTTGCCGTTTCGCTACTCTTCCGCTTCGGTTTGGGTGTCTTCCTAATGGCAACAGTGGTCTTTCTAGCCTTCTTGATTGGCTTCTTCCGAGTTTCGCCATGTTCATCGCCGTCATCCAGGCCCAGTGCGTCGCTCTTCCTCTTTTTCTCTCCTGCTGCGGCCCTCTTTGGAGGATGAGCGGCATTCTTCAATTCCTTGACATAAGTCCTAACCAGCTTCTCTAGTCCTGTAGCAACATCCTCAGGCAAGTAATTCTTTTCTGCGATTTCCTGGGCAGCCTCGTGGCTTGGCAGTGCTTTGAACAGTGAGCGAGGAAGAGTGACATTGCCCGGCCATGTTTGCAATAAGTTGACACCTTTCGCATGCCCGGGCATCATGTCGGCATAGTTTCGTATGACTGCTTGAGAAAGATCGCTGAGCACGTAGAGCCGTTCGCTAGCCTCCTCCGTGCCCTGAATGCCGTCTCTCGCACCTTTTACCCGCTGCGCGATGTGGAAAATGAGAGAGAGGTTGTCTTCCGTGGCGACCGAGAACAAGTAGAATATGATGTACTTGGAAAAGTCCAGCAGTTCTCCATCGAAGTCTTCGCTATCCGCGCTAGGGTAATCTGGATGATGGGCCAACAAGCTCAAAAGGCGAGCAAAAACCGACTCCAGCACATTTTGGGGTGGCCTCCTCTCCGTAGTCTTTGCTTGAAGCTGCTGCCTTGTGAAAAATTGTATCCGTGCCCTGATCCAAGTCACCGTTGAGGTGCGAAGCTCAATATCGGGTTCAAAGGCAAGTAGAAACAAAGGAGTGAACCACCGATGAGCAATTCGGTTTTGCCCAATGTACTTCTTGAGGCAGTTGACAAATCCAGTTCGGACCGGATTAGGGGGGTTGATCATGATCATCGCAATGGAAATGAACGTCGACGGGTTGATAAACTCCTCACACTTCCGGCTGTGACCACACAATTTCAGTATAAAGTGCGCAGCAACCAGGCGGAGGCGGTTCTTCTGCGCGGGAGGTGTGTCTTTCTGTGGAGCTATCTCCCCTTCATTCTTGATCAGCGCCGTTAGATAGCCGAAAACCTCTTTGGCCGACTCCTCGAACTCATCGCCCTCGGATTTCTCATCGTGTGCCCGGCACCGATTGACAAACACCTTCAATGCCAGTTCCTTCGACTTGCTCTCCTCGTCGGGAATCTCATCCCAGGCGTTTGGATCGTCTTTTGACTTTGAAGAGCGGTTTTTGTGCAAGATCTTGGAAATGGCGAGGTCGCGTATGGCGTCTGAGTGCAAGTCCGCAACCGCAGGAGCAAGCAAGCACAGCTGAGATATTGTAGCTAGGCGCGCCAGAAAATGACTCATCCCCGGCTCACAGTCCTTCAATGCTCTGAGCAGTATGTCTTTGGCGTACATTTCCTTTTTGTCAGAAACCATTATAATAATCGATACCGCGTGCTTAGCCGCTCGGGGAGATCTTGAGAACAGGGCAAAATGTGTCAAGGCAGTGATAAATTTGCGCTCCGCTGGCACATCCGTAGGATATCTTCGAGCAAACCCGGCGCATGCTTTTAGCGTATCTGCGGCACCCGTCTCCTCTGGTTTGTTGGCAGTGGGAGCGTTATCTTCAAGTTCTTTGCACAGCGCCTGTATATGGGATTTGAGCACTTCAGGGTGTCGAGCTGATATTTCTTTGAGGACCTCGTGAGCGACTTCTCCAAGGCCATTTTGGTCTGTACGCGAGATCTCCATTATCGCGGGGACATGACTTCGATTGTACACGAGCAATGCGCACCGATACAATATGGGGAACAATGTATCCAAGAGCGATTGGGAGCTGGGCGGACCTTCACGGATACGTTTTCCAAGCTCTTTGATTGCTTTGGTGACGGTTCGGTAATCGTGCTCTGGCCCTATGGCAAACCTGATCAACTGATACCAACGACGATTGTGTTGTTTCACAAATTTCCACAAATCGGCCGCAACCTCGGCGGGCTCCGGAAATGGCTTGGAAAGGCTGTCGATGAACCGGGTGAGTCTATCCTTGAGCGTCCCCTCGTCCTCTTTGTTTTCAACCACACCACCATTGTACTCCTCACATGTCTGTAGAAAAACCGTCATCGCTTTGCTGATCTGAACCTGTCGGTTCTGAAGGTTGAAAAATACAGCGCGGGATTTTGGCTGCAGACTACGCACAAGCGTAAGAATCCGTCGGGCCCGGATGGCATCGGGATCAGAGGCTGTGCTTTCCACGGAATCAATATCCTTGTCCTTCGTGCGCGACTTCTGACTTTCAGTGCGCGACATCATCTTGATTGGTGGGAAAGACAAGGGGAGGAGACTCTCGTAGAGGGCTTTGTCCAGGACAGTTTGCACGTGGGGATCATTGGTATAGAAAGCGCGGAACAAGCGATCTGCAATGTCGCCAACAGCTGCTTTGACAGTCTCTAGCCCATTTTCAATGTCGCTGGATGCGACGCCCCAGAGGCGAGCAAGGAGTTCGATCGCTGCCTCTCTGACATCGTGCTTGCGATCAGTGACTCGTTCCACCATGGTCGACAGCACCGTCTCAGGCTTAGAGAGACCGCCGTCTGCTGCGAGCGTATTCAATACATCGTGGTAGCTGAAAACGGCAACGGACTGTATGGCGACCAGGCGCACACGTTCATCGATATCGCGCAGGATCTGAGCGAATCCTGAGAGTAAGTCTTGCAGTTCCTGCTCGTCCAGTCCTATGCCCCCTGCCGACGTCAATAAAATGCGCGATGCCGCAATCGCCCACGCCTCACGGACGCTAGGAGCCCTGTCGACTCGACGGCCGAGAAACGCAGAGTATGCTGACGCGTGAACGTTCGCAAATGGCTTAGGAGACGCCGGCGTCAGTAGCGGATTGGGTGTTTGCGAGGGCTCCTCCGGTTGCTCAAGCGAGGGCAAAGGATAGGCAGCAGGGTCAAGAGGAACAGTAGCTGGCAGTCCAGCAATACCAATGCCAGCAGCAATATCTCCAATCGTCTCTGTTGCAAGCCGCCGCAGGGCTGGCGAGTCTGCTGAAAATTCGGCCTCAATTTGGGGGATGACATTCAAAAGGACATCTGGACAGGCTCGCCACAACTCTCGCAACAAGCGATGGGCTTTTCGCAAATCGTTGAAGCCTCCGTGCTCGTCCTCCGATCCGTCCAGGTCTGACGTTCGTCGATGATGTGCCGGCTTGGGCGGGGCTGTGATAGATGTCGCCGCAGTGGCATCCACAATTATTGCGCCGAAGTACTGGGTGATCTGGATAGTCATTTTTTCAGGGCAGGTCGTGCAAAGAGACTTTGCCATGTTGTAGGCAGGCGGGTACTCCTTCAAAAGTAGGGTTGCCTGCTTCGCATCCTCTGCCCCTCGCTTTTTGCCTTTTCCACGGTGCTCTTGCGCATGCCTTGTGTCAACTCGAAGAAACTGGGAAATGATGATATCGGTAACTTCTTGAGGTAGTACGACTTCATCCACGACTGCAGCGAGCAGATTCTTCAGGTGGTATTCCACGCTCTTTGAGACTTCGAACGCGGAAGTATTATTTCCAGACCCAGAAATGATATCAAATGCCGTTGTAAACAGAGATACGATGAGGTTCTCATGGTTGGGAACGTCTGCAACCAGCAGAATACTTTGCGACTCGGCCAAGGCAGTAAGGATGTATACATGCTGGGCGTTATAGGCGTTGGATGGATCAGCAAGCGCAGGAAGAATTGAATTGATCGTCACTGTGAAGATGTCCTATTGCAGTTGTTAGACTTGTCATCACAAAGGTTTCCGGTGCCATCTTCTCACTTTCAGTTGGCTAACTTGGAAGGGTGCATCGGGCGCGCAGATCCTGAGAACATCCACGATACACGCAACTGTCCACGCGCGCACACCCTTGTCTTTATGCCCCAACAGGTTCGGATTCGCCAAATCATGCGCAAGGGTGGTGAAAGACCGAGAATCGACTTCATCGAGATCATAATTGCGGAGTTCGCCAGAGAGCTTTTGTAATCGCGAAAGGAGGTCTGCGACGGGGATAGGTCTGCCAGCGCGCCAGCTGAGAGTCTCGTCGAAATGAAGGCCGGGGATGTTGTAGCGAATTTCCTTTTGCGCGGCCTCCGCCGCGCTGTGTCGCTGCCGGGGAGGCATCGTAGAGCTAGGGTCACAGCATCTCAATCATGCGCACATTGCAATAAGAGCAATCGAGTAGGGAAGAGGGTTGCTCGTGTGACCGAGGCTTAACGAGGGAATATGGGTCTGAAGTCTTCGTCCAGAACTGGTCTTGTTGACTTGCAAGCTGACCGTTCGATTAGTTGTACAAGAACCAGAGGGTCGATGGGCTGAAGTTTACAAATTGTTTGGCGGAGAAGCACTGCATTATTGGCGTTGCACGGCAGTCAATGACGAAAACGCGTCCTTCGCGCGTCAAAAAAGTCACCGCGCACTGGACCTCAGACTCGAACTATCACTAAATCACCACCAAAGACTCTTCTTGTTCAACAGTCGTTCTCTAACTGTGGTAAAGTGTACTGAGCGAGGCGTCACACCGATTTGTCTTCTGTACAAAAATAAATTTGTCACATTCACCGCTCTCAGGCATCAAGTTGTGTGGCTTGCAGCCGTTCCTCAACCGCGTCCGCCTGACCTTACGCCAGCCAAAATGATTGGCAGCATCAATTGTCCTAAATTGCTTGGGCCATAGTGGGATCAAGGCAAGTTTGGAGGTTGGCTGTTCAACCAGCAGGCTCTTCACCCTGTCCGAATAGATAGCCCATCAAACTGGACTACCAGATCATCCTTCTCTCCGTGGGGTGCAGGTTTCGCGGCATATACGCCTACCCAGCACTTGGTATCTTTGCCAATATCTCCCCACCAAGTAACTTCTCGCAGCGGCAATTTTTGAGAATTCGTGGACATCAGCCATACCCATAGACTGCCGTCGTTTGCGTATTCGATCTCAATAGTTGCCCTTTGGACGGGGTCCGACGATAACGGTTGAAGACTCCAGTCCGACCAGCGGTCTTTGGCAACGGTGCTCACATTTGGTTCTCCATTCAGGAATTCGATTCCAGTCTTTACCCAACGTGTGGTGTCGGCTGTCTGAACGACGAGGCATAAACCGCCTTGGTCATACTTGTCCTTCCAGTCGGCTGAAACCGTGACCCGCGCAGACTTGAAAGACCCCACCGTCGTGGTCTGATATATGATGGGCGCATTGAAAGAGTGAGTGGAAGGAGGTTTGTCCCAGATATCAGTGCCCGCAGAACAGGTTATCTCGAAAGTCTTTTCAAGGCCAGGGATTGCATGATTTAGGTGCACCTGTTGAAATGTCTGCGCCATATCGAGGAGTGGCTTACAAGGGGATTTCGGTTCTTCTGCAAATGAAATAGGTATAGACGGATACTGACTGTAAGCCAAGCGTCGTCAAGCAATTCTGAGAAGAGCCGACACGTATATTTAAGTACTTGTAGGTTCGATCATTTTGTGTATTCGCTCACCGCGGCGGGCGGCCAGATTGCCCGGGTACAGCGCGGCGGCGGCCTGGTGGCAGCGGGATGCTCAATGCGGTACAGAGGCCGCTCACCGTGTCGCAAAGAGAGGGCGGCCCGCTCCGCCGGTATTTTCGAGTTACTCTGCTCACTGCAAGTGGCAGTTGGTGACTCGGACTGGCTGACTGAGCACCTCCAATCACTGCAGTGCGATCGCCAGTGCTTCGACCCAGTGGCTTGGAAGCGGCAGTCCTGCTTACATTTTACTACACTGCAATTTGGACGAAAAGAACCGAAACAAACACCTTTCCTTTCAAGTTGCGCAGTGCCAGTGCCAGTGGTGCCTGATAGTAAGGTCAAAGTAGGCGCCTGAATTACACTGTAAATTTTCCTAGTACTAGTACCTACGTTGTAGGTAGGTATTTAATTTTGCTGCGCCACTGCGATTGCATCACTGTATGGGCTCGCAAGGAAGCCCATCATAGGTACACACGGCGACCATCACTCCTCGTATAGCACTGGTAGTGCACCACACTGGGCAGTGCAGTGCCAGTGTGCCGCAGTGCAGTTTGCCTGCCAGTGTGGGGGCGCAGGTGGGCATCCACACCGTGCCCTGAATAACGGCGACGACCAATCAACGCGGCTAAATTGCTAGTAGCCCACACTAATACCTAAGTCGCCGATTTATGGGCGATTAGCTTCACCCGCCCTTTCGCAAGCTTGCCCCTGAACTGTTTCGCAGCCGAAGTCAATGGCCGGCTAAAATACTAGCACGTGGGTAGGCTCCTGAATATCTCAATTTCTCCGCGTCTTGCAGGCCACAGAAACCGCCACATGTGGAATCTGCTGGGCCCGCGAAGAGACCGGGACCAGGACGATCTCATCGCGGGGCATATTCGCAAGCTCTCCCCATCGTGCTAGGTGTGTTCAAGGGAACAAGATTGGATATCGTAGAAACAAGATGGGATGCAGGGATCATGCCGGCCCCTTCGCCGTGACCGCAGCATCAACTTTGAACCGCAGCACCCACACGTGCCGAACTTGAAGGGGCAAAAAGGTAAGCTGGAATGTACAGAACCCAGGAACTCGCCTAGGCAGCACTTGTTGCATACCTTACATACATAATCACTACTGCGACTCGATTCACATGTCTTTCAGGCCTCCATGGACTTCCCAAGATACACTGCATACTTGAACCGTTTGAGCAACTGTGATTCGCCAGGGCTGCTGTAGTCTGCATCTTACGGCGACACGGCCCGCAAAGGTTTCCGCTGCAACTGCAATTCTGATCGGTGCATCTCGCCATTAGCCGAACCATGAGCCCTTCGAGTCAGTGCACACCAGAGGAAGAGTACGAACTTTCAAGGTCAAGTACATATACGTCGGATGGCCCGGAATCCCCCCTGCTCGCGCACGATCTCACAGACCGAGATGACCTCCACTCCGCTTCACCAAGAGGGCTGAGGCCGCGGACGAGTCCTAAAGTTGCGCTCGCTTCACGGATTGCCACGGTCGCCCCCGCATGGCTGCGTCAGCGATACCGACGACCAACGACAAGATGCTGTTTATGCTGCTGCATTCGCCTGCCCCGGTCGCACGTTCGACGGTTTCTCTGCCTTCTCTATGTCTTCTTCACCTCCATCCTTTTCGTTGTCATCGTGGGTGGCGTCTTCTTCCCAGGCTACACTCACTTACCTCCCCACTACAAAGAGCTTCGACAAAGAGTGCTGGCTTCTGGCGAGGAAGGCCGTGCCAACCAGAACAACCAGAAGGTGTTCATTGCCGCGAGCATCTACGACAAAGACGGAAAGCTGTCCAGTGGTCAGTGGGCAGAAAACGTGCTGGAACTGATTAATTTGTTGGGACCGAAGAACGCTTTTTTGTCCATCTACGTGAATGACTCTGGACCAGAGGCAAAGAGCGCTTTGGAGGGTCTACAGCAGCGGGTACCGTGTGAGCATGCTCTTGTTTTCGAGGATCACATACATTTCGACGAGCTTCCCCATGTCACACTACCAGATGGTTCACAGCGTGTTAAAAGGATCGAGTACCTGGCCGCCGTGCGCAATCGTGCCCTTAAGCCCCTTGAAAACTCAACCACCATTTTCGACAAACTTCTATATCTGAACGATGTCCTGTTCCATCCTCTTGACGCCGCACAGCTGCTGTTCTCTACGCACACTGTGGAGGCCGGCAGGACAGACTACAGAGCTGCCTGTGCGGTGGATTTCATCAATCCTTTCAAATTCTACGATACATTTGCTACCAGAGATCTCGAAGGTTATGGCATGGGCTTACCATTTTTCCCATGGTTCTCCGCAAATGGCGACGAGCAATCGCACCAGGACGTGTTGGATGGCAAAGATGCCGTACGAGTGAAGAGTTGTTGGGGTGGAATGGTGGCCTTCGATGCCCAGTTCTTCCAGAGTCGACGGGAAAGACGGGAGGATTTGATTACCGCGGGAAATCAGAGTCCAAGCAACCTTACAGCACAATATAGCTTTCGGGCCGAGCAGGAGCTCTTCTGGGATGCATCCGAGTGCTGTCTCATCCATGCAGACATTCAAAACCCTGAACCTGGCAATACGGGCATCTACATGAATCCTTTCGTCCGGGTCGCCTATGATGCCAAAACTCTTTCCTGGCTCCGCTTCACTCGCCGCTTCGAGCGCTTGTACACCGCTATCCATTTTCTACTCGACATCATAACCAATACACCGGAGTACAACCCACGGAGGGACCACTATGCATGGCAGGAGGTGATCGAAACAGTTTGGGTGCCCGATAAAGCGTCTCAAGACGGAGGGAGTTTTCAGCAGGTGGCTAGAATTGCTAACCATACGGGCTTTTGTGGACGACACCGTCTCTCAGTGATGAAGGAGGATATTACCGAGGGAGACAGGAATTGGGAACACATCCCAGTGCCTTCATAAAAATATTAGCATGGCGTCTGGAGTGAGTTTGTCCAAATGAGACAATATGTAGCAATGGCTTGAATTTTGGAATCAGCATGGTGCTTTCTGATATCGGAAGCACAACTGCGAAAGATACTGTTGTGAGATGTCCTATCTTGTGAGCGTTCCCTGTTCTTGTTCGTGTCTGCATCTTCGCCTTTGTCTGCGTCTCAGCCTGTTCCCACGCTGCTTTGCTCCCTCATAGACGCCATCTGCGGTCGTCCACGGAAACAGAGAGAAAATGGGCATGTTTTGCGTTGTCATCCTCTCGCGGCACCACCACACAGAGTCTGATCACCTACTAATATTGACTTGTTGATTTGATATTCCTATTTTCAAGTTCCTTCGTCCCTCCTTAACATCTCCTTCTTCCGAGTCCGTCTCTGCATTCGCTTTACTTCAACTGCCCACATCAAGCTCATCTCAAACCATCAAAATCTCCTTCCCAGTGCTTGCGTCTTCAGCCGGAGCGAGGGGCGTGCCTGCATAATGGCAGCACGTCTCGACGATCCTGAGAGGATCAGTGCCTTCCTCCGCGCTATGCACGGCACTACCGCAGCTGTCGCAGCAGACAGTCAAGGACCCCAACCCCGAGTCGTTGCTGCAGATCATGTAAGTTGGCCGCGGAAGCAGGAACTCAAGCTGCCTTCTTGACTGACACCTCTCCAGGATGTCCCTATAGCAGCGACCAATCTCGATTACAAAATGGCTTCCCTCACAATGGCAGCAGACGGTACTGCTGGCAATAACGCACTCTTGCCAACATCTCCCGTCAAAGAAATCCTCACCACGAAGAATGCCAACATCCCGCCGCAGATTACCCATCTCCATGTACCCCTCCTGACTCCCACTCAGCAGAAGTTATTGAGGAAGAGAGAAGACATAGTCGAGACCCGGAAGGATGACGAAGTACCTTCTATGGAAAACCGGGCAATGAACTACATGGAAAGAGTTATCGCACAACACCGTCTCGCATGGGACTCTAAGGTGGCGCTTGAGCCCGCCGAGAAATCTGAGTCAGGTAGAGAGATGCCCCTCAACCCTCATCAGCTCTTCACTGACAGCCCTGATCTATTAGCAGTGACAGACGTACCTGAAGACACCGTCCACTGTTCGAAGCCCGAAACTCCCGCATTTGCAAAAGAAACTCCGCACTGCAACACTCCCTTGGGCCACATTGACTCCTCTCCTCCAGTTTCTCCTATCGAGTTCACTAGCAGTCCGGTTCCCCAAGAGGAGGCCCAGGAGGCAGCCAGTGCCAGCGAGCGTGCAAGCTCGCTTGCTGAGGACCTCCACAGCGGCGGCAGCTTGTCCCCGACTTATGCTGAGAACAGCAGCACCGATGCAGCAAAACTTCAAGCACCAGGAGCAGTTGGGGTCAGAGCCTACGATCAGGCAGCGGGCAATGACCATGAACCCAAGATTGGACAAGATGAGACTGGTAAGCAAACCAAGCAAGGCGGCGAGGATCGGGAGCATTCAACTTTCTTCAAATCTTGGGGCAGCCCAGCTGCGCGTAACAAGCCGGGTAAGAGATATCCACGAATTCGTCTGCATTTCAGCTTACGTATCAGAAAATCGCAAGCGTACCATCGTCCTTGGTGGCCTTCCAGGTACTGCAGGCTTCACCTTCGTCCAATCTCTCATACACGGCGGTTCTATCGAGACAATGAAGCTGTCCTCCAGCAACTCGGCCGGCACAGCTACGGCATTCATAACGTTCACCTCAGGAGACGCCTGCGACAGATACTTCGCCAAGTATCCCAACGGGATTGGAGTCCGTCATGAAGGCAAGAAACACATTATCTTCGTCGACAAGAGTGATCGAGTTGATATCATGAGCTCCATCGTGCAGGGTTACCTCGACTGTGGGGCTTCTCGTGTCGTTAAGGCCACAGGAGCAGACGAAGACTGGGGAATCATGGCCTTGAATAGGCTTGCAGAAGGCAAGAACAAGACTCGTGCAGTTGAGGCTGTCACCGATAGTCTTCAGGACGGAGTGAGTGAACGCAATTATGCCCCCCTGATTATTGATGGAGTACTCAACTAATCTTTCATCCGCACAGAAGCGCACCATCCTGTTCCGTTTCACCAACATTTCGGATGCTGTCAAGTTCAAGAGTGAACTCATGAGAGACTACGACTGGGAGGGCTGCCTCATCGAATTCGCAGAAGATCCATGCGCTAAGGCGACAGATATTCACCACGGTTGATTGAGGCGATCAGCATGAGGTCGTTCCAGATGTGTTTTCTCTGATACAGGCGGTACATGTCAAGACCGAATGCGAACTTCTAATCGTGGATGGCGAATGGCTGCCAGTGGACTCGTGGGTTTAGCTTTCTGCATTTCGAGTGGTTTCCGAGCCTAAAACAACACCTCTGCCTACTAATGGGGAAGGCGAGGACAGCAGAAGCAACAATGGAAATTCTCTGCTGCGGTGGCCATTACGGCGTGTCTTTGCAAAGTGCAGTGTCAGTGGGTGAGAACGGCCACTGTATGGTTGATGCCGCTTGTAAGCGAGCATGGCATCTCTAAGCGACCGAGTCACACAACGTTGCAGAGCAAATGCGCATCATTGTCATATTTTGCAGAGAACGATTCGCTTCTTCTTGAAATACCCACTTCGAAAGCTTCTAAACAGCCCACTATGAATTTCCCTCCCACACTACTAGGAGCAGAGAACCCCGAAAGGTGACTTTTTAATTAGTACGACGTAGTGGTGACACCTCCCGCATCAGTATTTTCAGTCCCAGCTATTTTCTTCTGCGAGGTGTAGCAGCTGTGATTCTTCCTTTTTATTATTATACAGCTCTTACATTTGCACCGCCTTGCGCTCAGCTTAAAAAATTGTACCGGCATCGGCTTATCGACAGATTCTGCCAACATGGGCCAGCCATCGGAACCGGCGTCCAACGCCATCATCTACACCACCTATGCCGGCTTCCTGTACGTCACTTGTCCGTGTCTCTAGCTCCATGACCAGTTCGCTAACAGCAGTCTTGCGTAGCATATTCGGTCTCGCCGTAGCATGGACGCTGCGCCATCAGACTAAGGGCGAATACCTCGCGAGTTTGCGGACACAGAAGGGTTAGAAGCAGATACCGGCAATGGCGCACTTCCGAGCCTGTCCGAACACCGCAGGCCCAAGAACAGATGTGCTAATACATTTCTCGCAGGCATACCTTTGGCCCTCAACTTCATCGCCTCGGGTGAGTGCCCTCAAAGGGCGGCAATAGCCTGAAGCGGCAGCAGTAAAGTGGGCGTGACACGATCGAGACACGACCGTACAAATCACCCAAGAGGAAGAGGAATGATCACAACCGCGAGTTGAGCGTGATATTCTACGACCCTGCGGGGACCCTCTTCGACCGAGGAACACTGCCTGATGGCCAGATCGAACATAGCTATCTGAGGTTCGTACGCTTGCATCAACGGCATTGGCCTTTGCCTCTTCTGTCTTGGTCGACTGCAGCACGCATCATTCGACTGCTGTGTCTCTAATGAGTTGCAATGGTTGAATGATGTGTGTCTTGAAGTCTTCCTAGGTAGAGGGTGCAAAGGTTGATGTGCAGCACTACGGGCGCTTGTGTGGCAATCCTCACCCTTCATCCACCTGGTCTTTGAATTTGACCAGAGATGAGGCGAGCTGCTATTGCCGAAACACAATGCTGAGATTGTACCGTTAGAACTCGAACAAGTTAATGCTTGCGTGGGAAACGTGCTGCCGCTTCTCCCCTTGGACCCCCTTCCCCCGTCACCACTGATCGGAAGTACTAACAGCGCGCCTCCATGGCGGCCGTTGTGTACAGCTCTAGGTTCAGGTATCCTTTTCACGTATCCCGAAATCGCCACCATTGCCGGCGTGCAGGGACTCGTGGTTTACAGTCTTGCGTCGGCTCTTCCTCTGTTGGTATTCGCCTACCTTGGCCCCATCATCAGGAAGAAGTGTCCGGAAGGATTCGTTCTGACTGAATGGACACGCCAACGTTATGGCACAATCACCGGTCTTTACCTGTCAGCTTTGACGTATGTCTCTCCCCAATATCTCTCCTTCCGAGACGGAAGTCCCATGTTCCGCCAAAACCATCGCTAACATTTTACTTCTACCAGCTTGATCACCATTTTTCTATACATGGTCGCTGAACTCTCTGCGCTGCAACAAATCGTCAACGCCTTGACCGGTCTCAACGGTCTTCCAGCCGTGATCGTCGAATGCGCCGTGACCACGATCTATACATCCCTTGGAGGATTCCGAGTGTCGTTCATCACCGACAACATCCAAGGAGGCATGGTGGTGGCGCTCATCATCATCGCATGCATCACCGTCGGCGTCAAGACAGATATCAACCGTGACCTGATCGACCGCAGTGGATACCTCGATGCAAGTCTTCTGGGCTGGCAACTGATCTACATCCTGTCGGTGGCCATTATAACCAACGACTTTTTCATCTCCGGCTTCTGGATGCGAACGTTTGCCGCCAAAACAGACAAGGACCTGTGGATAGGCGCGGGTGTTGCGACAGGCGCCGTTGCGGTCATTCTGACTCTCGTCGGCGTCACTGGACTGTTGGCTGGTTGGGCTGGCATTCTGGGAGATCCACCGGAGGAGTCATCGATCGCCTTCTTCTTGTTGCTGGGGCAGCTGCCCGCCTGGGTCGTTGGGATCGTTCTGGTCATGACCATCTGTCTGTCGACGGCGGCCTTCGACTCGCTTCAGTCGGCCATGGTGTCGACGGGATCCAACGACCTTTTCCGCAATAAGCTGAATTTCTGGTTCATCCGCGCCGCCGTGGTCATCATTATTTTCCCCGTGGTCGTGGTCGCACTGAAATCCCCTTCAGTGCTGCAGATCTATCTGATTTCTGACCTCATTTCGGCATCCAGCATTCCATGTCTGCTGATAGGGCTGTCGGACCGGTTCTACGTCTGGCGTGGATTCGAGGTCGTGGTCGGAGGCCTTGGTGGGATTGTTACTGTCTTTCTGTTCGGTCTGGTCTACTATCACGGCGACCGCCAGGCGGCCGGAAATTTGATCTTGCTCGAGCAAGGCCTTTATGGTAATGACTGGTCGGCCTTTGGTGCCTTTGTCGCGGCTCCGGTCGGAGGTTTCTTGTGGTCTCTGGGCGCTTTCGCGCTCCGCATTGCCATCCAGTGGTCTATGGCCAAGTACAAGGGCACCCGATTCGACGCCTTTGATAAGCCTGCCGCGCCGAGCGCCGCTTTCTATACCGGAGACCAGATCAGACCTGCTGGCTCCGTTGAGGGCGACCGCGAGAGGGAGGTGTATCTGGACAACGATGGCGTCGAGAGGAGCGAAGTCAAAGTCAAGGGGAAGTTCTTCTAGACCCGCCGGGTCGGAGAACTGCAGGCCACGCCGCACTGCATTGCGCTTCCTCTTCGGCACATTGATTTGAAGGACATTGGCGGGGTTAGTAGAATAACCCGGCCACTGTCAATGAGATTGGTTTGCCAAACGGAAGTGATGCAATATAGTACTGGCCGGCGTCACAAAGTAGGAAGGAGTACAAGCGGAGAAAAGCAAAAGATAGTATGGGGAAAATGACGGCAGAGAGCTGGGGACATTTAAGAGGCACATCTCGGCCGTTTGATCACAAGACGACAAATCAGCATCTTGTCCGCGGGCTAGGTATGCTAGGTTGGATCATATAGCATTATTGTCTGAGTCAAGGTCGATATGTGCCGTGTGGACTTCTTAGGTACTTGACCCTTGTTGGAAGATCATAGATCTGACTTGCAAGAAAGGACCAAGGAAGGGACAGTGACAGGAACAGGGAAGCAGAGCAGTAATATGACGCGAGGGAAACTAGAGAAATTCAGTAAGTTAATGGGATGGGTGGAAGAGAAGGGGAGAAGGGGATGTGTTGAGAGATAGATTACTTGGGGGATATATTGGTATATACCTACCTAGGGATCTACATATAAGTAATATACTATCCCACACAAAATATATTCCTGGGAAAGTATACACCTACAATCAACACATCTATAAGGTACTGACACCTACCTACCCTGCCACATAGCATGAACCATTGTGTGATTGTGTGTGTTGCTCAGCTATAAGATAACTTAAGATAAGATACTGTATACCTACCTATACTCTCTACAAATGTGATGCCAGTGGTCGCATACCAGTGTTCGGCACGTTTCGACCAAGCAGGAAAGAACAACCCCACTATCTGTCCTGTTGTTAATTTGTTGCTCACTGCAGGAGGATCAAAATAATATCTTTCCAATTATGCATTGTACATTGTCTGTCTACCTAGGTAGGTACGGATTCGAATTTGAAGTCAAGATACGAGGTACATTATTTCATCCATCTACGGTACACATTAGATAGGTATGCCACACAGTACAGACTACAGCCTCAGATGGTTGTGATATCAAGTACCGTACTAACCTCAGTTACTCAGGTTGAGAACCGATTGCTCGGAACACAGTTCCAGGTTCAAGTTCGTCAAAAGGGAAAACTAGTATAATATCAATGCATCCAATATATATAGCTCGATATACTTATATATATGTATATATGCCTTAGGCATAGAGACAGGCATACAGAGAAGTATTCCATGAGCTGAGGCAGGTATCTATCTATCCCGGAAAGGTATACAAGGTACTGTACTACATACCAGATATATACCTACCTAGGTAGATACCTTGCCACCAACCATCCACGGTCACGGATAGGCAACCATCCACTGACTGGTACATACATACATACATACATACGAAGGCTTAGGCACGAAGTACTAGTAAAATGTCGGATAAATAGGCTTCGCTGGTTTGGAGCAGAGGATGCATCCATGATCCATCACAGTAGACCCCTCATGACAAAGATGCTCCCGCGCAGTAGGCTCCAAATCTGAGTGCCTAAATTGGGGGACCTCCATTCGTTGTATCTGTGGAGCAAGGATAGGTGAACAATGTCGTTGATAGGAGGGGAAAAGCTTGCTCTCAGTGGACACTGTAGTTTGATTTTGTCGTTGAGAACCATACGAGTCCGGAAGTGGTGGACAAGTCAGGCACTGCCAGACAGTGACTTGAAGTGACGATTAGCCTTACTATCGACAATGCTATGGCACTTACAGCCCCATATCTTTACATCTCTCAGCGTCTCACGGGCACTCCTCGAAATTCATGCCATAAAGTTGTGCCAGAAATCAGAAATACACACGTGATGAACTCTGTGGAGGATGAATTAAAAGCGGTTGGCGAGTTACGCCCAGTTAGCGACGAGACAAGCGAGTCTCAGTACTTTCCTCGTTTTGCTGAGCACTCACTGTTTTTCCTCACTCCGGCCTAGGCCTCGGTCCTCTCGGACGTATCAACAACAACCCCTTGGACCTACACACCGCAAGTCGAAACCATTCCAGGCTCATCCTTGTTCAAAGACTCTGTACATAGGGTAGCAGACCCTGAGCGTCTGGTAGCCCTCTAAGGCCTGGGCATAATGTCAACCGCAACCCCTTGAATGTACAGACCAAACAAGTCGAAGCCATCCTTGTTCAAAAAGTTCTGGAGGTAGGTATGGGTTGCAGACTTGTAGTCAGCTCAAATGGCGTTCAAGGCGTGCGGCATCTGTCAATCAATGCCCGCCAGTGGTGATCAATCGCGCACAGACCAACAGCTCGAACCCTGCAGATTTTCACGTAAACCGGATAGATGGCGTCGTTATCATTGGTGATACTGTTTGGATGGTAACCGATCTTTTCTCAAGGATCAGATACTTGTGTAGTAGTGGACGGTCTCCTGTGCCGCGAAATTCTAACGAGTTTTCTGCCTTCAGCCCCACTCCATTGGCCAAAGACAGTACTAGTGAATGGCATTGGGGTCTATGCAGAACATGGACACTGCAGGTGGGACTCGTCCTAGTGATTTATTGATTGATGATCGAGGTCCGAGAATGAGAGAATGGCAACTGGAGATCTGGAATGGGGCGGGCCATCGACGATCGGTTCGTCCCCACTCTCAGCTGGCCGTGAGCGCTGCCATGGAAGGTCTAGCCACCACAAGACGTCTGGACGGCTTGCCGGTGTTCGGTTCTTGGTGCCGCCAATGGGTTTTCGGTGATAACCAGTTTGGCAGTTTAAGATCTGGAAGATCGGTTCTCGAAGAACAATTCGCAGTTCGAAAGGGCGGTGGGAATGGATAGGGAAGGTTTTTGGGCGAGATCTGCTATTGACACATCTCCAGCAGCCCTTGCGTACAACAAACTCAGGTAGGGCCGCTAGCTAGGTACTAACAGACATCATTCGATACAATGTCTGTGAGCGTGAGTGACTCCTGAGAAGACAAGAGGACTGCTAGCACCATAATTAGTATAGAAATCTATTCTTTGTAACGCCAAGGTTGAGCCCGCAACAAGAGAAAGAGACCTCTGGGGCAGTATAGGGACGTCCCGCTTGCCGAAAGTATCGCACTGCTCATGCGTGACATTTGTAAAGCCTAAAGTAACTACAAAGTCGTCTTCAGCAGATCAACATTTTCACCGAAGGAGTTGTTTTTCATGTTGTGGGTTAACTCGAACACCACCGGGACGAAGTATTTGCTCTCTCTGTCACAGACCAGCGGCCTTGTAGCACCTAGTCAGCATGGCAGTCGAGAGAATCTCAGTTGGGGACCTGGGTACCTGGTAGGGATACACTGGCGCCAACCTCACTGCAGCACAACCTAGAAACTGCCTAGCCCACCGCAAGCCACCCCGAATTGCCCAAGTAGAGCTGCCTGCCCCTGCTTCTGTCCCTTGCTCAGTTTACGTACAACTACTAACCAAGGGACAAACAAGAGGGCCGCTCGGGAAGTGCCCGGAACCACCAGAAAACACCCTGCTGGACGTCTGTGCATGCGACCGCCAGGGCCCCCAATTACCTGCCAGTGGCACTGTAGGTGCGCTTTTCGACTCTCAGTCGGCGCCAGGACGCTGCATTCAGCTGAAGCTCAGCCAGTTGCGGGTGCAGCCCCAGCGACACTGGTGCGTGAGCAATCAGCCAATCACCGTGCATGTTGACCTAGGCTTGGCACGCTAGTCCACATCTATCAGCTCGGAATCTCGGTTTTCGCCCACTTTGATCGCCCTTTTGGCACGACCGATCAAGTCCACCAGCTCGGAACTCGCCATTTGACCACTACATGTCGAAGCGACCACAACATGTCGAAGTGAGAGCGGCTAGTCGTCGGCGCTTCTTTCAAGCTCGCGAGCCTCAACCTTCCCCCGGCTTCGCTTCCCTTACAGCAGAGGCTGAGGAAACATCCATGGCGGGTGGATTGTGACCGGATAAGGTAAGGATTCATAGTGGAGAATGACTCCAGCTGGAGAGTACCGCTTGACCTCAGTACATGGGCCGTGCCGGGGTCTTGACGATCGGACCAGGGCATTGTCTGGGAGTGTGAGCCTACGATATTACCTGCTTTGTTTTCTGCAGAGAAAACCACAGCAGTACCACGCGTCCCTGGCCTGTCTCTATTGCACGAGCACTTGACATGTGCAGCACCAAGAAGCCCTAGAAAATGTCCGCAGGTGAGCCCATGTCCGTGTCTTCAGAAATGACCCGGCGGATCCTGCGTTGACAGATGCCAAACGCGCATCCGGGGTTCAAGGCTCGCTTACGCACACGGACGTGTTCGGCGGACAAGACACCCTAAAGCCTGTGTCGACCTGCATCGAGAACTTGCTAGCGTGCAACATGTCTCCTCATGGCTTGCAAAGGCCTTTTGGACAACCTGACCAATCTTTTTTGGGGTCTACGCTCGACTGCTGCTCCGCCGGCAGGTCCCTTCAGTCTTTTGGACATGAAGATAACATGGCGGCTACCATACTACGTATCACTAACCCTGTTCCTTGAACGTCTTCGGACCAAGCAAGGAGAACCATTGCCCAGTGACACTGGACGAAGCGGACATGCCGCTGGACAGGATAGAACAAGCCTTGCGCCGATCTAGCAAAGGACTGCGTCCCATCGTCTAACCTAACCCATCCCGCTTCGGCAATGACCACGTCGCAATGGAGATCGCACGGATACTGTTCTATAATGGTAAGCAACAAACGGACAGGAGGCGGGCTCTCTCGTGGGTGGTCGGAGCAAGTCGTCTGAACTGACCGTTGCTAGGGTCTTCGAATGCACCGATCCCTCCCCTCATGGCTTGAAAAATTCACACAGAAGTTTTACAGTCTAGTGCCAGCAACGATAGATTGCCCTTGTGCTTCCGTTTGCTGATTGAGGCTGATCCTCTTGCCCGAGTAATCAATTTCTTGTCTTTCTGCCCAATCTCTTCTTAAGGAGATAAGGCAGTGTTGAATGATGCTCTGTCTCTGATGGTCGACTAGGCAAAAGACAGATGGCCGTTGCTCCACCTCTCCTCATGTGAGTGGACGGTCAGACGCACCTTGCTTCGAAACTACCTTCGTGTTTGACTCATCTTTTGACGTGGGAGCAGGCTTGCAAAGGATACCGCCAGGCCATCAGGTGCGGAGCGATACTCTTTACCGTTGCGTCGAAGCGAGTCTACCAAGACGACCTCGTCGATGTGCAAGGCCGTGCGTGCCCAGGCAGAGAAAGGAGTAAAGGCTCTGCCTGTCAGAGGCTGGAGGTTGGCAGTTCAGCGGGCTTTCCATACCCTTCTCATCGACATGCAGGCCACACGATCCGGAAAACTCGGCTTGGTAATGCTTCCGAATGGTTCTCTGAATTCATTGACCGTCCATGTCTCTGTCTATCTGGCTTGGTATAGACCACTTGAAAAGAGAACTCATTCTATACCGATACTCCTGTACCGTCCGACCCTATGTGTGGTTCTACGTATGTTTTGCTGTGACGGCTGACATATCACTTACGGGATTTGCCGATCCATAACAGGTCTCAGCAACAATGGCTTGTCGGAGGGTCAATCCACTTACCCCTGTCACTGACACACAGCATGTTGACTGTTTTTGACAATCCCTGGGCTGGAGGCACAAGCGGACTAGGTCCAAGAGGAAGGGCTAGAATCAATAGCCTGGACACAGACGTCTGTACCAAGATGTCTCATTTCTCTCCCTTTTGCCATGCTCACGGCGAAGCTGGACAATCGAGAACGTTGCACAGGACGCGCATCAAGGCTCTGGTCCATCCGTGGCCTGGGTCATACTACTTACTAACATGAATCGAAAGCACGTCGACAGGCCGGTGGCATTTCCAGGTTCAAACGCAATGACCTGGCCGGACTTCATCTTGTGTACCGACACTTCACTTGTACATGAGTGGGCAGGGGGGAAGCTCCCCAATCCTCTCATCCCAGCACTAGCTTGTTATTCATGACTGCTGGTCAAGGCCTCGAACTCGAGCTGTCACAATTGGTGCACTTCTGTCTTCTCAGCCCTCTCTGTGTTGGCTAGTACTCATTGACATCCTCCTCGGCTCTCATGTGGCTGGCAATACTGACAGATATGCTGATTTCCTTTTGAACCGTGGAGCCATCAGAGGTATTGGATTCAGGAGTTGCTCTCTGTTTCTTGCGGAGTACACTGGCCTGTATGGTCTGTTGCTGTCGTGTTGGCTCCTCTTGACAGATGTAAGAGGAATGAATGTTTACCAGTTTCACTCAAAAGAACCGTGTTGTGGTCGAGATTGTATTGCTCTTTCTCCTTGAGGGCGGAAGATTGCGTTTCTGTCAGTTGTATCTGGAACTTCAAGGGGATGTTCATCCTTTCACCATGGAGCCTTGGGACATGTATAAAGCCAGCCTCGACATCGCCATGTCTGCATCCGTTCTATTCCTCATCCACAGTCACTCTTTTCCAGTCACTCTTTTTTGTCACTCGTTCTCAATTGTTTTTGCTTTCCAAGTATGAAGTGGTCAGGGTCGGTCCTCGTGGAGGCCAGCCTTACGCTTCTCCTTGCCAACGGAGCATTTGGGGCTCACCTGACAACCATCGACCCGTGCCCCAGTGCTACAAGCCTGAGCTTGGCCCCTATCACTGTGTCTTCTCAATATCAACCGGTCTCTACTTGTGAGCCTACAACTGCTTGCATCAAGGGAAAGTGCTCCACCATCTACTCGGTCACGACATATCCATATGTCTCTACCGCAGTTCCCTGTGCATGGAACGGGACGACCAGCCAAATAACTACCGTGACTGATGTTAAACAAACCTTGATTGTCTCCGAGCATCTTGAGACCATCACCAAAGTCACGGCAGCCCCTACTCTCCACAATGGCAACTGGATTGACTGGTTTGGGAAGGTGAAGCCGGCCACTAAAGCTACAACTACCCTGTACGAAACTGTCACCAGACGAGGACTAGCACCGTTCGAGGCCGTCGGCCCTTTAGCGATTCCGGGCTGGGACGGCAGTGGACTATGCCACAAGTGTGACGAGAAGCAATCGAATGGCGGCGGTCGCTCTCAGCTTCTGGATGTGATCGAATGTCGATCTGGTATCAACGAGGCCGGTGACCAATATGAAAAATGCATCGAATGGTACGAAACCTTGATTGAACAACCAGCCACGTCGGTCACTGCCCAAGGTCACTGCTCTAGTCGCGGTCAAATTCCTCATGCCGGTACATACACCTGGACGTTTCCCCAAGTTGCGCCTCCTGTCACTGTTACAGCCCCTCCAGTGACGGTTACTGTCACGGTTGAAGGTCGTCCGTCTGTCACGGTACATCGGAGTGAACACGTGATCCCTGGCCAGCCATGGAATGCCTATGTCACCAAAAGCTTCTCCGGTCCAACGACTTTCAACTTCAATGTCTACGTTACAAAGGTCATCATCTTGGAGATTCCATACTTTACTCAGCCGGCAACTCATACTCGACCTATTCCTCTGCCTACTGGGCCTCACAAGCCAGGTCACGGATCGGGCCGGTGGCCATTGCCAGGAAATGATCCGAGCTGGACTTCTATGCACGGTGGCGGTCAAGCCTGGGCCGACTGGAACTTGAACCCTACAACTTCAACTCGGAGTAGTACGACTCTTGGTCCCAGCAGTTCATACACTGCTTCTACCACTGTTAAGTCCAGCACTTCATACACGGGTTCCTCCACGGTTGGTCCCAGCAGTTCATACACT